TTATTATTATTATTATTATTATTATTATTATTATTATTATTATTATTATTTAAATGGCATGGAGGTGACAAAGTGAAATAGGTCTTTTGAAAGCACTAAACTTCTGGTCTGATGGACTCTTATTAGATCAGAGGTGTCAAACTCGATTTCATTGAGGGCTGCATTAGGGTTGTATTTGACCTCAAGGAGCTGAAAGGATGTGGCCAGGGTGGGCATGGCCAGCTCCATGTCATTCGTGTCGGGGGCACCTATGGTAGAGTGCACTACCAATGAAAACAGGCTCCCAAGCTCCATTTCTGGCTGCAACAACCTCCTGCAACCCTTTGCCAGTGGAGATGGAGCTCAGAAGGACTGTGTACAGACCTCACAAGTTCCGTTTCTAGCCTCCTGCACCAGTCCTGTGGCCCTCCCGAGCTCCATTTTCACAGGCAGAGGCACTGCACCAGTCCTGTGGCACTCCCTCGCTGTTTCCAGGGAAGCCAGCTCCACATGCCACATCTAATCACCCCCAGATCTGGCCCCCAGGCCTTGAGTTTGACACCCCTGGATTAAATCCTGAAATAGGTCAGTTGCATTTGTTCTTTTTAGAAATTCTGAGCCCACAACTAATAGTTTTATGTTTATGCATATGTTTATTTAGGATACTATATTGAAAGGAAAAAGAAGCAAAGCTCCAGATGGATGAGATTAAATTTTGATCTTATTAAAGAAACAACTTTTGAGCCCAAAAAGATGATTGAGGGAGTTGCCTATGAGGTGCGTGTGTTCGCAGTCAATGCCATTGGGACCTCCAAACCAAGCATGCCATCAAAACCTTTTGTGCCTCTAGGTAAGTAAATCATATCTATGTATTTAATTATTCAAAACTTTTATTGAATGGTTTTATTTGCAATACAGTACTGTAGCAGCCTGGAAATTAATTAAAAATAAAGGAGATAATCATTGTCATAAAATCCAGGAAGAAAGATAGTTAATTTCATTCCATTTCAGAGAAAACTTTAGAGTTCTGTAGAAATAGGAAGCAGGAAAACAAATTAATCTTTCTCACTTGATGTTGCAGTCCTGATGCTTTCTTTTGTTTTGGTCTGGTCTGACATACTGGAATACCATCAGAAAGAAATACCTTCACCAATAAAGTTGGTGAAGTTGACCAATGGTAAAAATTATTATTATTGATGATTCAATATTGGCTGCAGCTTCATTTTTAATTAACACATATTTTTCATCAGAAGATATTACAGAGCTGTGTAGGGTCATATGTTCGCTGTTTCTCAACCTCAGAAGTGTTATGATGCATGGACTTCATTTCCCAGACTTGCTGGCTGAGAGAAAATTCTGGGACTTGAAGCCCACACATCTTAAAGTCACCATGGTTTAAAAACAGTGGTCTAGACTCCTGCATCCTTCTCAATAGCACCCAATTTACCATTCCTAAGGTTAATAGTTGTTCCTTTGCTAACTTTTGTCTATATTCTTCATTTTATTTTAACAGCCATCCCCATTCTAATCCTTATTCCACTGACACTGCCGTTTCATTCCTCTTCTCTGTGTTTTGATGATTTTAAGATGGTATTTCTTTTGAGAGATCAGATTTTTCAATTGTTTGTGTTAAGGACTGCAGAGGATGAGCTCAATGGTTCTAAATATCACCTAATGAAAACAAGAGAATTGTACAGATAAGAAGCTGGTATTATCATCTGTATTTTCCAAATGCAAAAAAAATATTAAGATTAATAATGCGACACTGAAAGTCTTTCACATGCTTGTTAAATGGGTTTAGTCCCCTTTTACGACTTTTCTTGCAATGGTTGTTAAGTGAATCATTGCAGTTGATAAGTTAGTAACCTGGTTGTTAAATAAACCTGGCTTTTGATAAAGTCACAAAAGGTGATCACATGACCCAAGGACAGTGCTACCATCATTAATATAATCCAGTTGCCAAGTGGTTGAATTTTAATCACATGACCTTGGGGATGCTATAAAATTCTTTGCTAACTAATATAATGAGCATGAAAATTGTTTAGTGACCTACAAGGGATTGTGTATATTTTGTTAGGCTAGTATCAATACTCTCTTTTGTTGTTTTTAGCTGTCACAAGTCCTCCTACTTGTCTGGCAGTGGACTCTGTCACTGATACTACAGTTACCATGAAGTGGCGACCACCAGATCAGATTGGAGCTGCAGGTTTAGATGGTTATGTCATAGAGTATTGCTTTGAAGGAAGTAAGTCCTAATCATATTTCATGCAAAAGATAAAATATACCCATTTTTTTCTATTGAGCAACAGCTTTGATTTTACTTATACCTGTAGGTCAAAGTATGTAAAATATAAAGCTTCTCCAAAGTGAACAAAAAAAGTCCATTTCAAATTTGTGTTGAATTCCCCACAGAAGTTCTTAAGTAACTAGTAAGCTGTGTATTGTTCTGTTCTATACAGCTTCTCAACTGTTGAATCAGTGAAAACATCTGGCTGTGGATGATTTGTGCCACTGATTATACTAAAGATAACCATGTTGGATTTTTATGAATGTCAACATACATTGCTATTTCTATTTTAGTAAGCTAAGTGGGTACATCAAGAAACAAAAGAGCTTGAACACTGAGGACATATCTCAAATGTAGATTGTATCTGCCATTTTGACATGACCCACCTTGAATTAAATACAATAGTGATATATTTTACAAACAAATTTGGTATACAGTCTATATATTCTATACTTTTGCACATTGGTATAGAAATTATACATGCTACATTTATACTGCCTGTGTATATGTATGCATGCAAATACACAGACACAAAAATTATGTTACTCATGTATATATTGTAATGTTTTAGAACAGAACAATCTAGAAGGTTAAATAATACTTTTTGCTTACTTTGCTATATCTCTTGTTATGCATTGTTTCTTTTGTATGTCTTTTTTAGTATCTGGATTTCTGTATTCTTCATTTTCTTTCCTGCAGTACTTTTTCTTTCCACTAATGTCTCTATAAAACTTAATCTCTTACCTGGATCTTCAGCAATCTTTTTCTTTAACTGTCAATCTTTCAACTCCATTTCTTCAGTTCTACCTTTTCTTGCTTATACTTATTTATTCTATCAACCAATCTCTCCTTTCTCTGCTTCTCTCTCTTGCTTGCCTGTTCCCCTCAAATGGGGTATTAGTAGAACTACTTTAATCAAAGGCAAAATTTATTTTTAAAAAATCTTTTCAAATATACAAAACCAACCATAGAAAAATGGACAAACGTCACAACAGTTTAAAAGTTAATAAAATATACTCTTTCATTGGAAACAGTACTATAACAGTACTATATTCTAAATAGACCTATGTAAATAAATAGCTTCAAAGGATCAGACAACAGTATTTACATTACAAGAATAGAATGAAAGGTTTTTAAGAACTGAAAATAAAAGGAGCAAACTTACTCTTTTCTCCTGTTTTGTGGGGTTTTGTCACAGATTAACAACAATGAAAAATAGATGGAGTAAAAATAAACTTATTTTTGTAAATTTAGAGTTAGATGTTACTCAGAAGTGTTCTTCAGCTAGTGAACAACATTATCATTATATTTGTCTTCCATTTATTTTTGAAATGTATTTATATGATACTTCCTCTAAACCTATCACTCGGTGGAAAAACTGTCACACAATCATCTGATTCAATCCAAAAATCAGGATAGGGTAAAATATTGTTTTCTTATATGCTACAAGGAATCACTAACAGAAGCATGGATTCTGTTGAGATCAATGTACCAACTCTGTGGTTGACAGATTCATGATATGCCCCAGAGCTAATTATCCAGATCCTGAATATGATGTTTCAAGGCACACCTATCCTCCATACATTCAGTGCAAAGTACAGGATGCAAAAGCCAGAGAGCTGCAGATACCAACTATCCAGCAAGGAGTATTGGCAGACCCGGAGTTTCTGATAACCAACGGATTTCAACGATAGACATGCCAGTAGTCTTGCCAACCATCTTAAACCTGTATATCCCTCCACGTATATCTTTCTTCTTCTTTCAGTTTCCTCTTGCTTATCCTGGAACATGCTTTAATTTTCTCTTCCTCTTAAATCTCTTTTTCTGAATGGATGCCTCTTGCTTATCTCTTTTTTTTTTCACATTTCTCAATTGTCTTGGTTTCTGATTCTGATTCTGATTCTGTGGATGCTCGGCTATACCAGTCCAAAAGGCACTTCTGCCTATGACTGTAAATCCCCACCTGTGCTTTCCAAATCATTTAGGTTCCTCTGACTCTGGTTCAGAGCAAAATATTAGTGAGGACACAGCCGGGGGCCCAGGGCAGACGGAAGAGAAGACATCCAAACCCTGTGAGTGTTCAGCGTCAAGCTTTTTCTTCCCTCTTTCTCGCCTCTTTTCATTGTACCATTTTCCTTTGATCAGTGGTTGGAGCTGAAACACTGTGGGGTGAAAAGACAGGCAATGTTTTATCATAAAGGAGTTGTTGGTGCCCCACATAAATGCATACTTGGTTTTACTGTTTTGTCAACTCTGTGATCATCACAAGTTCCTCTTCAAGGTGCAATATGTGTGTACTTACTAATAGAACACTAACTATATTATGCTTGTCTGAAAATGGATGTCTCTGAGTTAATAATAAAAATGAATCCCAAATAAGGTCTACCAACGGAAGTATGTAATGCTGACTTTCTGGAGGCAAGTCATAATCCGGAGGGTAATGTATGCAATATATTTAAACATTCTTACTGAAAGAGCAATAGAGATCGATGGATGGGCAGATAGATTCCAATAAAATCAATGGAATTTGGAAAACCTGGGAAATAGTCAAGGAGCTGAATTTCTATTTTAATATACACAACTGTTTTTTCAGCTCACACCTGTATAGTATCTCTATGAGATGCATCATTATTATGGTTGGTCACATTGCCAGCCAGATATTTAGACTGGATCTGGAATTTTTATCCATCTATTGAGTCCTTCCCAAGGTTGTTTGCTATTATTATTTTGTAAGTAGAAAAGAAAAAGTAAGAAAGTTGAAATAGAATTTGAATGTGTCAGAAATTCTCCAGAAACTGGCTGGCAAATTCTTAAAAATTGAGGTCCACACATCTGAGAAATCCTGGTGCAGAGGTTCAGACCCAATAGCCCAGGTACAAAAGCACAAAAGGTTTCTTATAGCATGAGCCTTTTTTCTGCAAGAAGATATTATTTAAACAGCATTGAATGCTACTTCTTTTTTATTTTACCATAGAATGTACCTTTGGTATCAAAAGAACATTTTAAATAACATTGCTAATTAAGGCCTTTGAAAATGTTTTTGTCTGTATAAGAGATGTATGTTGTCCTTATATTTCTGTTGTCCATGTCAGTAAAATTGGTTGTCTGTATTAAGATAAAAGCCATAGTTGGATGGTAATAAAAAATAATAATTACAGAGAAAAATTAAAATCATATTGTAATAATAGAATAAGAGATTTATACTTATATTTGCTAAAAAGAAAATATTTCTTATAGTTTCTTCTTTAGTTTTTCTTTCTTTTTTCGTTCTTTGTTCTAAATATTAGTTTCTGTTAGCTTTTATATTTCTTTTTTTTTTAAATAAAGTTATCATAAAATCACAGTTTGCATCACATAAAAATAAGCTGTTTATGCATTGTTCAGATAAATTAATTCAGTTTTCATGCAGTCTTCTAAACTTAATACTGCTGATAATAGCAAAATAACATTTGAAAATTGGGGAATATTTGCTTGCTGGATGTTTCCCAAGATACATACTGGAGCATTTTCTGCAGGGGTTACATTAACACACAACATATTTACACTAGGATTAAATTAGATTACTCTGCTTGCTCAGAGTACTCAAAGATTTGCAGGATATTTTGGAGTTTTGGCATTTTGTTGAAAGAAAATATTGTCAAAACAGGGGCAGGGGGAGGCACGGATTGTTGACCAATCAGCAAAGCTTTCTTTCTGAATATAGAAAACAATGATACAGAGTGAAAATATATTGATATGAAAAGCTCTTCTTTTTTTAAAAAAAATCAGGAAATCATTAAGATCCAGAATTTGGATAGATTCCACGTGGAAATGCATTTTTCCAACTGTCAATTATCATGTTGCTTGCATATTAACATTTATCTTAAAAAGAGAGCATCATAATATTGACGGGCTGGCCTTCAGGATTAAAATTCTTATGTCTTGACTGTCTGTCTGTCTGTGCCTGTCTGTCTCTTATTGAATCTTCTTTGCAGGCTAGTTACGTTTGTTTCTTCTAGTTGCACCATAATAGGAGCTAATGACTTGACCAGAAATGTGCAAAATTCCATAACATATCCAGTATAGACTTTAAAAGCAATTTTTTTTAAAAAATATTGAACTGTATATTATCTGTCTTTCTATATAATTCTGAATGTTTTTCTTTCTCCTTGTCTTTTTCTGTTTTTATTCCACTTTAGCGGAACAATGGATTGTGGCCAATAAAGATCTAACAGATAAAACAAAATTCACCATCACTGATCTTCCAACTGGATCAAAAATCTTTGTCCGAGTAAAAGCAGTAAATGCTGCAGGCCCCAGTGAGCCCCGGATGCATCCACAACCTATATTAGTTAAAGAAGTTATAGGTGAGGCTAATTATTCATTTGTAACTCATAAGCATTGATAAAAGTTATTTTTCCTTGCCTAATAGCTGTATCATCTTTGTTTAGCTGTTGCTTTGATTTCCAATTTAAAAAAAAATCCATACATAGTGAGGGGCAAATTACATGGGTAATTTGTTAGCTAACATAGTTACTTTGTATTTTAATCTGATTTATTTTCTCTTTTTTAAAAATGATGTTCGGATTTATTAGTTTTTAACATTCCTAAACTGATAAACAAGCTGGAGACTAGCTCCAGGTAAGAAAAAGTTTGTTAATATAAATTGGGCTCTGGCTTATCTATTTTGTGAGCTCTAATCAGCCTTTCTCCTTACAATTTATGCCCCTTCAGATGTCAGACCTCATTTTAATAAACATGCATGCTATTATCCTGTCCAATCAACTTTCCTCTTTCAGATTTCTTTGTTATGTTGACTATAAAAGGGGATGTAAGCTAAAGATCGGGGTTCCCTCTTTTAATGAGAGGAACCCCTTTTGTCTGAATATTCTGATAAATTGTAATAAAATGATCTTCCTGTCTTGGTTTGTCTCATTGGAAAATATGCATGCCAAGGCACAAGCTTGAAAAAGCCATATTTGGCCTTGAATTGGCACATTTTGATCTTATGAATTAAGAAACAAATTTCTTTCTTTAAATTAAGAACCTCCGAAGATTCGTCTGCCGAGACACTTAAAGCAAACTTATATCCGAAGGGTTGGAGAAGCTGTGAATCTTGTTATTCCTTTCCATGTAAGGAATGCATGAGTGTTTGTGTGTCTATATGCATAGAGGTCTACATCTAATATTAGGTGCTGGGTATGTAACTAATATAGTTGCACTGATAACTTCCACATTTGAAGAAATTTCAATATTTGCTAAATGTCAGCAAATGTTTAAAAAGATCCTTGTGTTCAAAATATGGGAATTATAATACTGATCAATTTATTTGCAATACATTTACAAATATATTCAACTGTAATCAGAGTAACTTTAAACGCCTTTAATTGTCACTCGATGTCATAGAATACTTCAACTCTATACATGAAAGAAAGGCCCATTTTTAAAATATACATTAATTCTAGTAATCTCATTACCTTACCTCAGTAAGGGTAAATTTGACAACATCGCTGATTTATTCTTATTTACCAAAATTAGGAATTGCCCATCTCACTCTCAGAGTGGGTGGCATACAGTTAAAAGCATAACAATCATGTAAGAATGCAGTATATTAGAAGAAGGAGCCAGGTAGAAACAAAATTAAAAATAAATTGAAAGTATGTAAAAGTTAAAGTTAAAAATAAGTAGAAACAAAATTAAAATAAGTTAAAAGTCAGGAAGGAGCTTTACGCTCCAGTCACTCCCAGGGTTGTGTGCTGCTCTGGGAGCCCCATGCAAAATTTGGAACAAGCTCTTATTGAAAGGCTAGCAGAGTGGGGACCCACTCCCCTTCTGGGAGAGGATATTCCACAGGGCAGAAGAAATGGTAGGGAAGGCCGTCTTCCTGGATCCTCCAGTTGTGCTGGCAGGAAAATTCTGGGTACTGAAGTCTAGACAACTTAAAGTGGCCAAGGTTGAGAAACTCTATAACAGCGACAAAAAATGAAGGGAACCAATTTAGAAAAGACTGATAGCTAAACATATTCCACCTGCTTAATGTCAAGCCTGAAATTAACATATGTGTAGTTTCAATCAGCAACTCACTGATTTTAATTTGCAGTTCTTTGCTATTCAAACATATTTAAAGAATATCTTTAAAAGGAAATAATAATCAAGGTGTATATCTCAATGGCTACATATCTGGGGGGGTTTCCTTCCACAGGGAAGGCCAAGACCAAAAGTATCTTGGAAGAAAAATGGTACCCATGTAGACAAGAACCAAATTAATATCCGCAACAGTGAAAATGATTCTATCATCTTTATCCGAAAAGCAGAGAGGAGCCATTCTGGGAAATATGACATGAAGGTCAAAGTAGATAACCTCGTGGACAAAGCCACAATAGAGATTCAAATAGTTGGTATGTATTGAAATTCTACCTGAGTAGAATATGGCCTGTTAGCTCTAATACCTTTTGGCCTTACAATAACATAAATTTTATATAGGGAGCAGGATAAAAAGAATAAGAAATTGTGGAGGGCTGGATTACGTCCATGGTCTGGAGTCTTCCATGCCTCTTCAAAAATTTAAGAGCTTGAAATAAGCTACATTATGATCCTTATTATATCTATGGCCCCTACAAACCAGAGTTAAGACCAGAGCTACATTTCATCTGGATGTGAAAGGCCTACAATCTAACAGTTACAACACAGTCTTGCCTGTAACAAGGGGAGAAGCCAAAGATGTCTTCAGAGGGCACAGAAGGACAAATTCTGATACATGTATAATGTATAATGAGGTATCAGACAAGAGCTGCAATTGACATACATCATTACAAACATCTTTAAAGCCAGTATGTTTTAGTATCATTAATGTGATAATGCCATGACACATGATGTGATCATCATGAAATGTCACTGTAAGAAAGTTAACAGAATAATAAGAGTTGGAAAGGACCTTGGAGGTCTTCTAGTCCAGCAAAGCTGGCTGAGGAATGCTGGGAGTTGAAGTCCACAAGTCTTAAAGTAGCCAAGGTTGGAGACCCCTGTTCTAGTCCAATCCCCTGCTCAGACAGAACACTCTATGTACCAGGTTTTGATACCTCAATGCAAAGCCAACAATATCATAGTAACAATAGCTTGACTATCCTAACCTTCAGTTCTTGGCCATCCCAGCATCAAAAGATTACTATTTTTTTTTTTTGTATCTTGCTGCTATTTTCATAAGCTGGCCTGAAAATCATTTGATAAAGTAAAATAAAATTTAAAAAGCAAAGCCGTGTTGCATAGGATGTGACTGAAAGAATTAAATGTAGTGAAATACGAGTGAATTTTTTTTGCGGTGGAAAACATTAACTGTCTTCAGATGCACTTGCAGCAGTGAGCAAAGTTGAACTGTCACTCAGAAATAGAGGAGGAAGTCGCATGAAGGAATCAGGGACAGGAAATGCCACCTTACGAAACTTTTGGCCATTCTTTAAAAGAACATTAAAACCTGCCAAACTGAGACAAGCTGGAAAAATGACTGTACTGTTAAAGTTTCCTCTTTACTGCTACAGATCGTCCAGGTCCACCCCAAGCAGTAAAAATTGCAGAAGTCTGGGGAGAAAATGTTGCTTTGGAATGGACACCACCAAAAGATGATGGCAATGCCAACATTACCGGTTACACAATTCAAAAAGCAGACAAAAAGAGTATGGTAGGTAGACTTTCTAACATGGCGAATCTCAGGATAAGCTGCCTGGTTCTCACATAGAAGGCCTCCAAACTCTGCTATTATTTGGGAATCTAAATGACTTTTGAAAACTGGAATATCTGCCATTTAAATGTTCTTAAACTGACACTTTTATAAAAGACCTTGTGTGAACATAATAAGTATCTTTGTCAGGTTGTCTTTGTTCCTGGTATTGTTACGTTCAAATGATTCCCTACAGCCTCACTGCTAAAGCTATCATATTTGTTTCTGCACATCTTCTTTATATATAATGATTTGCTTGTTTTCGGAGGTGGGGGGATTGAGTCAGACTTTAGGCTATTGCATTAAATTGGCTGCTGGTATAGTTATTTACTTATTGCTATTCCTATATTGCTATTCCTTATTATTGCTATTCCTATAAATTCTTGTTAGTTGCCCAGAGACAAACTGTGATAAAGGAGGTCATATAAGACTTCTAAGTTAGTTAGTGGCTGGATTGAAAATAGTTGAAAATAAAGTTAAAAAATAAAATTATTTATTAGGGATTTTTGAAGGGGTGTTTTCAGGGGTGTTTTCTACCGGTTCTGTCCACCTCTGTAGAACCGGTAGCTCTGAAGAGCAGCAGACATAGAACTGGTTCTATGTCTGCTGATGTTTTTGCCTGCCACCCACCTGGGCTCTTACCTGATCTTTATTTCCTGATTTTTCAACTTCAGCTGCCAAATGAGGCACAGCTGCAGTTAGAAAAGCGAGAAAAGAAGGCTGTTTCAAAGGCTGCTTCTCTGCAGGCTGTTGCTGCTGATTGCTCGGCTCGCAGCCTGCAGGGAAGCTTGTAAATCCCGAACCGGTAGTTAACCCTGTCGTATCCCACCCCTGGGTGTTTTGCTTTGATGAAGCTGTAAGCACCACTTAAAGGTACTTCACAATTATTCCTTTACTTTTAAAGCAGGAATGGGGTTTCCATGTTATTTCCTTTGAAATAGTTCAGAGCCACTATTAACATTTCCTCCTCAGAGCTCACATGACTGGAGAAGGTGGAGAAAACCCTGTGTTTTTGCCAACCCAAAAGGCCAAGAGAACTTTTGGGTTGGGTAGCAGTGTTGGAAGAAATATCCTTTGGGGTTCAGTTCCAAGTGGGGAAGAAAGACACTGGAAACATGGTGACTGCTTGGAAATATGGTTCACTGATGAGCAGGATCAGTTCTTGGGCAGAAAAAAGGGAAGAAATGCTGAGAGTCCCTGGGTTTTATGCCCTCTGTTGGGCTTTGAATTTGAACTTGTATTCTGATTGGTTGTCAGACTCCCATGGGGCCATGCAGGGGTAACTCTGTAGGTTGTCTTTTGAGTCCCAGGCTTGGTTGACTCTTTCTGGGTGATGATGTAATGAAAGGGCTTTGAGCAATTCCTATTATGGCTCTGCCTCAAGGAGGTAGATCTTTGTTATGTAGAATAGACTGGCCCAGGCCTTAATAAACAAAGGTGGGAGGCTGAGTTTCTGCCTCTCTGAATTTCTACTTCTCTTTTAGGGCAAATATTCTGTCTTTTTCATATATTCTAAAATATTTCATTTTTCTAGGATAGGGGTGAGTTTTAACTTCCAACAGCAGGCTGCGGGAACCTCATTCCTGCCTCCTAAGAGAGCATGAAGCAGACTGGGGGCACTGAGGGGGTGGCAGGATCAGCCCAAAGGATCTTTGGTGGCATTGAGAATCTTCCAGGATAGACTATTCCAGTGCAGGCCAGAGGGGATTCCATAACACACATCAAAAAGGCCAGCTGAGAGATATGATATCCCTTTGCTGCACGCTTAAGGCACTTCTGTCAAGGTAATTCATAACTTGTCCAAATGAATGGCTAGCAAAACAAAAGATTTCCTTTCACATCATGAGATCTTGAGAAACAGAATCAAAGTCAAACCAAAATAGAGGGTAAAAGAAAATGAAAATAAACAAGCTAAAAAAATTAACACATACCAAATTGAAGATGCGGTACAGATTAAACCACCAGGCTAGAAACCAGGAAGCTGTGAGTTCTAGTACTTCCTCTAAGCATGAACCCAATTGGGAGACTGGGCCAATAATTCTCTCTCAGCTCTTGGAGGGAGACCACGGCAAACCACTTCTGAAATCTTGCCAAAAATCTTGCCAAGACTTGTGCAGGAAGTTACCAGGAGTCAAGAAGGCACCAAAGCCAACAGATTGAGGAGGCTATACAAGATTAATTAACAATATTTTATATATGCTTCATGCAGTTAGCAGAAATCTATTTCTGGAAGTCTTTCTGTAGGGAGACCCATCTATTATCTACTTCAAGGTTTCTTTTCCCTGTGCCAAATTAAGATTTAGTATCCCAGACTGATTTTTTTTCTGCCAGTTTTATCCTTTGTTGTGCTTTACTGGTTGAAGCCATTCAGAAAATATTTCTTTCAATATAAACACAGTGTAATATTTATATCTACGTTGAATAATAGTAATAACATTTATCTTTTCATCTATAGAAATAGCAGTAGCATTTAGGCTTATATATTCCCCCTGTGGTTGGACTTAAGTGTAATTTTGTAGTACAGTTTTGTAGTACACAAAATTGTCTGCTACAATGTCCTACCAGTCAATGATTACTTCAGCTTCAACTGCAACAATACAAGAGCACACAACAGATACAAACTCAATGTTAACCATTCCAAACTTGATTACAGAAAGTACGACTTCAGCAACAGAGTGATCAATGCCTGGAATGCACTACCTGACTCTGTTGTTACATCCTCAAATCCCCACTCCTTTAACCTCAAACTATCCACTATTGACCTCACCCCATTCCTAAGAGGTCTGTAAGGGTTGTGCATAAGTGCACAATTGTGCCTACCATCCCTGTCCTATTGAGCCCATTTATACGTACCTATTTCCTGTATTCTTACTCATATTTATATTTATATCTATTATCTTGTAAGCAATTGACAAATCAAATAAATAAATAAATAGACTGTCTGGGTAGTTTATAATATTGAAGCTTTATTTACACATCGCACCCAACAATTTGAGTCCTCATTTTACCGGCCTTGGAAGGATGGAAGGCTGAATCAACCTTAACCCCATCAGAGTAGAACTCCAGGCTGTGGGCAGAGTAGCCTGCAATACTGCACTCTATATTATTATTTCATATGTTTAAATCCAAATGTACAGATAAACTTCTTTATTTAATATTGCATATCTCATTTGTCTTTTAAAGTGAGGGGTGCTTATAAAATGCAGTCATTCCTCAGGCTGCAGCATAACACAGATAGATACTTCTGGATTGATGTCTCAGCCAGGCTACCCCCGAGTGCATAACTCTTGTGGCATTACAAGCTCAGGTTAATTTGTTCTATCTTTCAGGAATGGTACACCGTCATTGAACATTACCACCGGACCGCTGCTACTATTACGGAACTTGTAATCGGAAATGAGTATTTCTTCCGCATTTTCTCTGAAAATATGTGCGGCCTCAGTGAGGATGCCACAAGAACAACAGAAAGTGCTGTGATTGCTAAGGATGGTTAGCTAAAACTCTGACATTCCTGAACTATCTCACACAAATACGACAATGGAAATCAGCTAAAAGAGATTTGGGAGGCTTATATTAATCTATTCATTATATTAAGCTGCCATAGTTTTAGCAACCACATCATTATGTAGCATAGCCAATCATGTTAATAATGAACATTGCAAATACTTTATTCTTTTAAAAAAATATTGTACAGTTTGGATGGAAAGGATAAAATAATGGAGACTCTGTTCTTGTTTGAGCTGTAACAGAAACACATCTACATTTGGAAGAGAAAAAAATGTTAAAATTACTTGGATTTTTTTTTTCATGCATCCCATCTGCTAAAAAGCATGGGTATTATATCTAATTTTCAAAAATACTAATTGGAAGCAAGGTATCCCATGTGGATTTTGCACAACATTGTCCTGTAGGTTCTCAGTAAAACTGAATGCACCATAATTATCAATATCAAGAAAAAGTCATTTGTGACCATTGACCTCTCTTGCACAGAGAAACATGGTCAGGAAAGGGACTTAAATTTTTCAAATAACAGCACTTTATCCAAAACTATTTAAGTGCCCTACGACCCTATTTAAGGATCCTATGGATTCATGCCACCTTTACAAGAGAAATTTTCAGCCTTGTATCCATTCAGAACACCAGTATACATTAAACACGGTGTTTTGCTATCTTGAAGGGAGAAGAAATTTGTTTAGTTCACACTTTAGGCAGAGATAGTACATTTTCATTCTTTTCTTGAAAGATAATCTACAATCCACCAGGCAAAGGATATAATGGTGGAAAACAGCTACTAGCCAATCAGAATGTCAAACCAATCAAAAACATTTTCTTCCTCTAATCTCATTTATTTTCTTTGAGGTATTAGATGACATACTTCTTCCTCTTTAATCCTGCCCAACAAAATCAATGGGCAAAAAAGATTAAGTTTTTTTAAAAAATTATAGGGAATTAGATTATGAGTCCACAAAACATAGAAGTTTCAAAGGTCCATATTCAATTTCTTTATATTTAGTGTTGTCTATAAATGTCATGGAAAAAAGTTTGAACTCTTATTCTAGAACTCTTGAAGGAAGAAATCTTTGATGATGTATCTTTTATTGTGGATAGTTTATAGAGTAGGTTGCAGACAACTGAACAATATGTACTATGCAGTATCTCTTCCCAGGGTTATAGGTCAGCTGCAGAGGTTAGCTTCATGACCCAGGAAATAAAGTTGCTGCTTTTAAGAATTAGAAGCACATACCACATTTACTTGCCAGTGCTTTCACAAGCCACATTGGAAGTATTACACAGTTCCATAATTTACTGATAAACTTTGTTCTTATGTAGATAGCAATTAGGGAAGTGAACATGTTACAAAATTCTGTCTTTTAGCAATTCTTGAACTTCTCTTTTGCAGGTAAAGTGTACAAAAATCCAGTTTATGAGGACTTCAATTTCACTGAACCACCAATGTTTACTCAGCCTTTAGTTAATACATATGCCATATCTGGTTATAATACAACTTTGAACTGCAGTGTCCGAGGAAATCCAAAGGTAAGATACTAATCTAGTAAGAATCACAAGTACACAAGAGAATTTTAAAAAGATGTGGATAAGACAAATCAGATACAACAATATTTTTCAAACTTGGTAATGTGAAGAAGTACGGACTTCATCTCCCAGAATTCCCCAGCCAGATACGTCCTCAAAATGCAACCGGCAAGTAACCTCTCCTCCTAAAAACCTCCTCATCTGCAGAAACTGAACATCACATATAAAAGTTCCACACATGTGCAGAGCCCCATTAGAACCTATATGTGTAATGTAGAATAGCAGTCCTCAACCTTTGTGGCTTGGTGGCCCGGCTGTGGGGGAGAAGAAGAGAACTGTACCATGAGTGCACGTTTATGTAGTCCTTCGACTGAGTGGTGGGCCAGCATGAACACGCAGCCCTTGCACCCATGCAGCCCTTGCATAAGCTGTGGGCTGGCACATACCCATGCAAGTGTCCACCAGCATGCCACAAGCACAAGTTGGGCTACACATGAACACTCTGGCCACCCGCTCATGCAACCCAATTCCAAATAAGGCACGGCTTGGGAGTGGGCCATGGGTTGGGGACCCCTGCTGTAGAACCTATATGCAATGGTGGGATTCAAATTGTTGGACCACCGGTTCCGTGGGCATGGCTTGGTGGGCGTGCTTTGCATGCACACAGCTTTTCTACTGACCTTCTCCTGCACTCTCCCTGTGTCTTCATCAGCTGACCTGCAGCAATCTGCTGTGTTGCGTGATGCAGCTGAGCTTCCAAAGGAGAAAATAGAGGTCAGTATGGAGCCAGGGTGGGTGAGTGGGCCCAGCAGCTGATCACTGAAGTGAACTGGTTCGCTCCCAGATGATCTTTGGAGCTACCAGTTGGGCCAAATAGGGACGATCTGGTAAAATCCCACCCCTGCCTATATGTGTGGACTTCAACTTCCAGAATTCTGGGAGTTGGAGGCCACATAGCTTCAATTGCCAAGATTAAGAAATGCGGAGGTATAAGACTGCTATTTCTTCATCTCACTTCTTGAACATTATACATATAGGTTCTAACGGGGTTCTGCATAGGTGCTGAACTTTTATAGTTCAGTTTCTGCAACTGAGGAGGTTTTTAAGAGGAAAGGTCACTTGCCCACTGCATGTTGAGGACATACCTTCCATTCTCTCCTTAATACTTTTTCAACTATTGGGGGTCTGCATTATCTAGAACTTTCTGTGCTCTAGTTGGGTTAAAATTTATTTTTTTATTTAATACAGGGAAATATACTGGTCTTTAACTGTAATAAATATTTTGAAATGTGAACTTTGGAGGAAAGAGAGAAGAGTGTCTCTGTGAGGTAGCATATGGCATTGTAACTCATGTAATATCCCCCGTTCGCAGTTGTAATAGCACCTAGAAAATCCATAGATGTAAATGCAAAACTGACCACTCAAATATACTTGTTACCAGGTAAACTGTTTGTTCTTCTGCTACATCACTCTAGAGCAAAATAAATAATTTCATCAGTGCCCCGATACAAACCTTCATTTCCCCATTTCATTGTGTTTGACCTCTTTTCCTTAATCTGATAATTATTTGAGTTTTTCTTAGAATTGGAAGCTAGCACAAATGCAATTTACCAGGGAGGGATGTTTACAATATCTGTCACAATACTTCATAAATTGCATGACGTCTTTATTTGAACCATATGTCAGATATATGGTTTTGCTCAGACTTGTTTCTATTTCTGTGCAAAGAACCTGAAGTTTGGCAATGAAATAGATTTCCTCCTAATTAAAATTAGGAAAAACTGTCCAATATTTCCTATATTATTCCCAAAGAAAGTATATTTATATTGGGAGGACTGATGAGTTTTTAAAAATCTTACTATGATGAAAGCATTTGCATAAGGTATTCTTCTGGTTCTCCAGTTCCGGAATTTTGTTTTTATTAGATATATTAAAATAACCATCTTTGTTTAACACTTTTAATGGCTTCTTTTAATGGTGTAATGTGAAAACCATGTGTTCAATAAAAATGTATGTAAAATATGCATTTAAATACATATAAATACATACATATAAATATACATATGCATGTAAAATGTTGCATTTAAAAATAACATTTGAGAAAGGTGTCCCACAAACTAGCTGCAGAAATTGAAATATATTGCAGTTGTTGTTCATGAAATGAAAATTTAGCATTCCATAATATGTAGGTCTTTCAGAAGGGCAATCCCTAATTTTATGACCTTTTTTGCAGCAGTTGTTAAGCAAATATAGTGATTATTAAATGAATGTGGTGGTCATTAGGGAAACCCATTGTACCCAATGGCCATGAACCATCATCCCATGACCATGAGAAGCTGCAAATGGCCATAAATGCAGATCGATTGCCATCTACCCAAAATGCCATCATGTGATCATGAAGGATTGGGTAGCCATCATCTTTGAAACTGAGTCATAAGTAACTCCGGAGAGGTCCGTTGCAGCTTCAAACAGTCACTAAGCAACTGATCATAAATTGAGGATTATCTGTATTAGAGTTCTGTCATAATTAAATGAAAATTTTTGGGTAGATAGAATTTTAGGAAAAGTATGGAATGGACTTATCTGATAAAATAATTTGAAAATCTAAAAAAAAATCATTTATTTTAAGATGCCTTAAAACAGAAAATGGACCATCTACCTCATTAACATCAGATTTTAGCATTATGCTACAAAAAAGGAATTTGATGTTTTATTTCCTATCTTCTCTGTCTATTTATTCTAACTGCAGCCCAAGATAACATGGATGAAAAATAAAATCATTATTATGAATGACCCACGTTACAGAATGTTTAGTAACCAGGGTGTTTGTACACTGGAGATTCGAAAACCCAGCCCCTATGATGGTGGCACATATACTTGCAAGGCAGTCAACAGTCTTGGTGAGGCTGAAGTTGAATGCAAATTGGAAGTCAGAGGTAAGATGGTCTTTGTTGGGTGGAATAACTTTCTTTAGTATAAAAAAATAGCTGGGAGCAGGATGCCTTCCTTATTATGACAATTTTTGCCTCTTTTGCTTTGCGGGAAAACACATTTTCATGAATAAAATGTTAAAAGAAGTGTAACAATATTTGAATCAAATGTTTATGCTATACGGAGAGTATACAACATGGCAACATTTTGAATATCGTAAATATATCTGCACATCCATCAGAAATATGCCTTCAGGATATTTCCAGATTAAGGTAATACATAAAGAAGATTAGTAACTGGCTTACAATGTTCCATTTTTAACTTTAAAACAATTTAGTTACAAAATGATCCTATCTAACGAACAGTTTCTTACCTTCTTTCACTGAGCTCATACAAATATTCTGTAATGCACATTGTCTGTAGAATCTATATAGTTGTGATGGCAAACCTATGGCATGTGTGCCACAAGTGGCACCTGGAGCCATTTGTGTGGGCACATGAGCTCCAGCCAAACTTACCTGCACTGAGCATGTGTGCTCCTCCCAGCTACTGGAAGTGATGAAACAGGCCTGTTTTTCAGCCTGCAAAGTCTGCAGAGGCTTCCCTCGAGCCCCCCGGAGGTGAAAATGGCCTCTCCCAGGTTCTGAAAATGGGCACTTCTGATATTTCCGGAAGGCCCATCTTTCAGCATTCCGAGATTACAGACGCTTCCGTCGAGCCTCAGGGAGGCCGAAAAAGGCCTCAAATGGGCCGAAAATCAGCTGGGAGGCATGTGCATGCACAATGCAGGTAAGCGGGCAGGGGGGTACACATGCGCAGGGTCTGTGTGCATTGCAGTCTCTGTTCCAGCATACACACCATACTCTTATCACACGTGTGTGTGCTTTCGGCCAACCACAACAAAAAGGTTCACCATCACTGTTATATAGGTTCTAGACTCACTAATTTCTGCCTTTTGGGACTGCCTACCTTTTGTTTCCTACTTACTTCTCAATCTAGATCCGTAATTATACTATTATGACATTGAAAATCCAATGTGGCCCTCACTGACCATATAATACTTCTGGTTTGGTTAATTAGGGTATTTACTTGCTTTGGAATTTGTATTTTATCTATCTTGCCCAATGACTCAAGCAAGATAGAAGTGACCTGTCTTGGGCAATATAGCATTTACATTTCCTGATTGTCCCAGTTTTTCTGTTACCCACTTTTCTGCATAGAAGGCATGACCACATTTCAAGGAGTTCACTCTTCCACATCACATGATAATAGAACTACAACTCATTCATAAACATCTAAACTCATGCTTTCTGCAAATCCTATATGTGGTTGTTTCATTTCAATCCAGCAAAGAATGCCACCATGGGACATTCATAGCGTCTAATGTCTATGGCACTAGTAACCATGACTTAGGTACTACAGTTCTGAGCATTGAGACATTTTAGGGGTGCAAGAGTTGATCCAGTTACCTTGGAAAGAAACTACTGAAGGCTAGGCTGAAGGCTCCTGCTGAAGGCTCCTAGCCAAATATAATCATTTTTTTTCTTCACATTTCAGTTTTCATTCTTTATTTCTTCCCTTTGTTACCTAGAGATGGAAAGACTAAAAAGCCTCTATATTGAAAGCTTGGTTGCCAATTTTTTGCAATCATGAAGATATGTCTACTAACTATTTCACTGCAGTTGTGCTGGGGTTGGGTTATGCATTTTTTTTTCTTTCTTCGTTCTTCTTTTTCCACTTAATATTTATTATCTGAAATCCAGTACCTTTTATTCACTGCCTGCATGATCATCTATCATTAGGGCAGTTCAAAAAAATTACTACCAGTTCTGTGGGTGTGGCTTGGTGGGTGTGGCAGGGGAAGGATACTGTAAAATCTCCAATCAGAGGTGGTATTTGCCGGTTCTGAAGCAATCAATATTTTTCTCCTCCCTTGCTGAAAAACAAAGAATAACTTTTCCCATCCTGGTACCTTCTGGATGTGTAGGGATAACACCTTCCAGATTCTTAGCCAAAATGGCAAAGCTTGGAAAAGTCAAAGTCAACTTATAATAATTATTTGTTGTGGGAGACATGATATTGGCTTCCTCTAGAACTTGCCCATTGTTTAGTCTCTGCCCCTGCCTAAACTGGCACTGAGACATTCACCATCTGAGATGTCAAACAGAATAAGCTCCAAGAAACTAGTTATCCATGGTATTCGTCCAATAAAAAAGATGAGAGACTCTGAACATGTTGATTCTTTATAATTAAAAAAATGATGAGATGACTAGTTTCTTTTATTTTTATTTTTTCCAAAGACTTAGCAGATGGAAGAAAAGATAAGGCTCATTTCAATTAAGTCACACTGACTCAGGAATTTTCAGTTGAACAAGTCACTTTGGATCACTCCTAAAGCCACAATTAATTATTTCCAAGAAATGCCACTGGCATCAATAGAACTACCCTAAATTGCATATTCTGATTATGGAGCCCTAAGATATATAGATGCTTTAATATCACTCTGCAGTTTAATATTGGACAGAATGTTTTTTGTTTCTTTCTATGTGTTAGAAGCTTAAAAGAATTACAGTTGGTATTGCAAGTCTGAAAGAAAAGAAGAAGCTTAATAGTGTTAAATAGTGGTGCAATAGAATGTCAAATTAAACATTGCTCAATAAATCTGCAATGATATATTATGGAGAAATTTTGCCAGAAAAATCAATCTTCTTGGAGGAGCAGAAACTGGTGTTTAAAATCACATTCAGATGGACATTACCTTTCATTTTATCCCTTTCCTATTATATAAAACATGTTTGCATGATAAGTGTGTATTTCATACATGTTCTTCATCTTTGTTTCATGGCATACTTCTATGGCATGGGCAAAGAAGGTCAAATTAATCAAGACAAAAATAACTAATGTCTAGATTATAGTAACTAAATTTAAATTTTCATTTATCAATAAATATAGTCTTAGTTCCACTTTATTTTTTAAAAAAGTACATTCTTAATCAACATCAAATACTGTAGTTGTTTTCAATGACAAATGTATCATATGTTTGAAAAAGTAATTCTAAATAGTTTATATTCAAACGGGAAGAATTATGAAGAACAGAGCTGAATAAGTAATAAACAGTCTCTCAGTAGAATCACATCATCAGTGTTTAAATTGTCAAGAATAAAAATGATAACATATAATTTAATGATATATTAAGAAATCCACACACATGAGAATAAGCTCTGATAAGACACCATCAAATTGAGGAAATACAGGAATGTACAGAAAATTGTATAAAGTGACTTATAACCTGTAATATAATGATTTAGTAGCTAACTATACTGTATTTTAAGAAAATATTTTCCTCCTAGAAAAATGCATAGTTTAAAAGGCTAGTGCAGAATAAATACAACTTTGTTGTGCAAAAGTACATACTGGAATGTTAACTCGATACAGTAATGCTTGATAAATTTGCCTAGTAGTTATTCAAATAAAATAGATATAGATATAGATGGTTCAGTGTTATGCATATGGCTTTTTCCTATACTGAGAAACACTCTGGATACACTAGTGTGCGTGTGCGTGTACGTATATCTATATCTACAATTTTAATTTTAATTAAAATATTTTAATTTAGTTTAACCTAATTTTTTTTTTAGTCTTAGATTAGTGACACAATTAGATTGGCTCCTTTATATCTCTTAGATTAGTGTGGCAGCCAATCATTTGTGTTGTGCATAATTAATTAAGCTTTCTACATTAATGATAATGCTGAAAGTGTGCTAGATCCCTTCATCTTTTGACTTTCCATTGTCTTTCCATTCTCATTCTCTCTTTCTCCCTCTCTTTCTCTCATTCTCTTTCTTTCATGTGTTACATGACTAAGGAATTAAATCATCATCTTTTCATCCCTGTGGACATACTTTCACTCAATAAAGTCTGTATGTTTATGTTTAGGAAGTAAAGTGCTTACAACTTCTTTCTTTCTCTCTCTCCTGTAGTTACACAGTAAGGATTTTTGAATGTATGTCATCTAAGGTAAGCTTTCATATGGTCTCTGCATATGAAGCTTATTTCTATTGTCATGTCATACAAATCCTACCAAAGTATGGCATAATTTTCATTATGTCATTTAATGAAAATGGGGTAATAAAACCAATGTAGCAACGGACTGATTATTTGTATTGTGTTCTTAATTAACAACTCTCGCTGAGTCTGCTGAATAAATGCTTGCGCTAGCAGTTCCGGCTATGATGCCAACACTTACTAACAAGCTATAGAGGGAGTATTAAAGCATGAACCAGGTTAACAGTTTACTATACATAAATAAGCATAAATCACAGCATTTGATCCGTCTAATGCCAGTTATTTGCGTCAAGGTTCAGCCAGCTAAGAAGTAGTACTATTTAATTATACCCAACTCTTACCTCCTTTTCTTGAAAATGTACATTGCAGCAACTTTAAGGAACTAGTTTAAAGCATGCCAGATTTTGTGTGTCACAGCACAAAAAGGTAAAATAAAGAAAGGAAAGAAAAAGGAAGGAACAAAGAAAGAATGAAAAAGATCTATTTGACAACAGATTTAATTGCTCTAAGTTAAATCAAGTAGTTTCATTTCAGCTGAGTTGTGCACAGAATTGTTATTTGCATTTTTATTTGCTTGAATGTGCAATATATGTATCTCTGTGACAGTATATCACGAAATATAATCCATGGAGCTTTGAAAAGAATCTTGCATTTGATATTAATGGTGCAAACATTCAAAGGTAAGTTTTTTATAAAAGGGCATGGTTTTTTCCCCCTCTGTCTATCTCTAGCCAAGGCTGTCTTAAAGCAAAGCATTTCAGTGTTTGTTTGTTTTTTAACTATTGTTACTTCATTGAATCTCAGCAAGCTAAGGTAATTCTTGGAATTTAGACAATTAATATGGCCTCGATCCTTGTATGGAATTCTCATACCAACATCGCTAAACAATCCAAGAAAATGAGCATGAAGTTACTCTATTTCACTGGGTTGGCACTTTATGCATATTCTTGCATTATTGGTCTGGTAGATTTTATTAACTCCCACTGAAGCATAATATCAACCATTCCCACCTAGATAGAATGGTTTCAATAGCTGACAAATGTGTCGTGTGGTGAAAGTATTGATAGGGAGGTCATTGACTGCAGTAATATGATACTCAGGGGATAGTGATCATCAGTTCCAAAATGGCTGGCACAGATGGGCAATCAAAATCCCATCCCCCCTTTTATGTGTGTATGGTGCATGTGAGGCATGTTAAAAAGGACTGAGGCTTTGACTGCCCAGTTGCACCCACCATTTTGGTGGTGTTGACCCTCCCCTAGTTATATAGCTCAATATAACACTGTAACTGGGAATTGTAAAGAAGAAACGTGGAAGCGAAAACAGTCACATGGTTATAATGTAATGCAGGCTTAATATCATTATTGTTTGAAGAAGAAAGTTGTTGGGTTGCCCTTGGTATTTTCCTTTTGAATATTCTTGATGGTACTACAGATATTATTTTGGATGACTTTCACTATGTGAACCTCCCTCCCACCAGCATCCTGCTGAGTCTCCTTTCTTCTCCTTCTCCCTCTCCCTTATTCCAATAATTAGAATATGGCTAAGCAACTTCACTTCAAAGCTTTTTCACTATGCTTGGTTTGGAGAATTTATGAAGACTCACACTATGAGTCTTTGATGAGTACCTGACAACTTTACAGCCACAAGAAAAATAACTTGACATTATTGGCAGCAACTTCATGCTGATCCATCAAGTCCCCATCCAATGGACAGTGAAAATGGTCAATGGAACATAGAATTCCTGACCAATCATTGTTGGAAGAATTTATTTCACTCACATGCAAAGAGGAAAAAAAAGTAGCAATTGTAGAGCAATCCTAAACCTATTTACACTAAAGGAAGCTCTGCTAAAATGATGGTATATTTCTCCTTTTGTAATTGCGCAAGTGTGTGCAGGTATAAAGAGCAAACCTATCCCTTTGGTTGTTTTCATAATTTTTTTGTCCTCAGGTGGTCTCTCGTTCTTCCGACTACTACTGCAAGGAGTACCTCCGCATATTGCGCAGTCCTATTTGAAAGAAATGGACGCCAGCAAGTATGGAAAAAAATAAATTCTGGCCCCAGTGCTTCTCTGCTTTTGCACCAGAAACTGCTAGCCACTCTGCAGCCTCTCATTTCTACCGTGATCCTCCTAAATCATATATATCGCACCTTCTGTTTTCCTCCTGTTCCTGGTGGAAAGAAAAACACACGCATGGATTGCCTTTCTTTTCTTTCTTTCTTTCTTTTTTTTTTTGAAGTTTAGTGAAATAAGCTGATGCTTACCTGCATTTTGTACTGTTGTGTATTTCTGTTTCCTTCTCTTTCCCCTCTCTTTTTTTAATGCAAAACAGAAGACAAGCTAAACAAATATGCATGAAAGTTCATTTTTAGTTTCTAATTTATATGTTTTAATTTTTGTGAAAAGCAGATGCTGCCACACCCAATAACGATGGAATCAGAACATACATCACCTCTTTTGATAAGCAAATAACATGCCTCCTGTGTACACATGATTTACAGCATTTAACCATTAATTGAGCTGAATGCATCTCAAGTTAAAAGGGTTCCCCCCCCACCCCCCATTGTTTATTTGTGAATCCAATTTCTTTAAGCTACTACAGGGGATATTTTTGGGTGATGTATAATAAAGCTGAAGTGTTTATGACCTAGTCACATATTTGGGATTCTTATGCTTATTTTATGTTAAGGTCTCACTGTTATTTTGTTTTCATAGTGTCTTGGCTTTTTGTCTGCAATTACAAACACTGGATTGTGGGCTGGGATGCAGATACACTTGCATATATATCCCTATCCATTACATTATTCCACTTGGGGGTAAGCACTGTTGTATAAAGCCATTGAAGAAAGAAAAATTAAAAGCATCGTATCAGAAAAAGAAATATCATATAAGCAAGTCTAGTTTGCACCAACGCCATATGTTATGCCTCTCCATACTTTTTTGTCCTGCAAATCTTCTGGGCTTTCATCTTCACCATTTATCACATGGGTGCCAAACTTGTGGCATCACATTGTTATCATGTGACATTTCGCGATAGTTTTTTTCCTTCGTGGAACTGGGGTAGGACATGGCCTGCATGTAACATATCCAGCCTGCAAGCTGCCAGTTTGACATCCCTGATTTATCACTTCACACATCTTGCAATCTTTATCCAAACACAACTTTCTCAATCTTCTCTCAATACATTTAGTCTTTCCTCATACACTTGTTTGGTGAGTCAGTTGTCACATTCTCTGTGAACACACTTCCTCATCTTCCTGACCACAATTTTTCGTATTATTTATTCAGCACTTATTCTTTCTTGACCCTATCTTGTTCACTATACACACTTCTTAAAGATCCACTGCATTAAACTTTTGTGTTTTTATATCATGGCAAACTCATTTTCATATAAGAAAGTGTACAGAAGCTCACGATGGGCAATTCCATTTCTTTACACAAACCTGCTAATAATATCTGACAGTATTGGTCAGTTTAGGCATATTTTGGTCGAAACCCAGTTTTATCCCAAGCATATTCACATTATTCTATGCAAGGCAGGGTCTCTTAATATGGGGACTACTTTCCAAGCTAGCATATTATTTACTATATCCCACAAACTAGTATGTATATGCCATGTCTATATTACAATGCTAGGCAAGATACAAAATTTCAGAATGTATTGGAACAGTTTGAAATAGAGTACTACATAGCTATATGGGGTCTGAGGCTGTGATGATCCGTAGTCTCTCAAAATAACCCCAAACCCCAAACGTACATTAAAGTCCGGTAATGCCTTCAACTTAACTTCACTGCTTTATTAGGCACAGTTTAAAGTCACAAAAGTAAATAATGAGGCAAAAAAAAAACCCAAAACAAACCGCATTGATGAGAGTTCCGAAGCAAGCCAAGATAATTAATCATACATTCCAGGAAGATAAGGGAGGAGAGTCCATGGGAAGAACGCCAGCAAAGATAAACCTCTTTCAAAGAAAACATTAAACTTTGACTCCAGCAGTTCTGACTGTGCAGTTACAAACTTATATACATAGCTCCCGGCTGCAAGCCACGAGGAGGATCATGGTAATCTCCTCCTGTGTAGACCTCGCTTTTCCCTGATCCTCTCCTCTCTGTGTAACCTGACCCAATGACTTATTTCTGGTGGGGTTTGGGGGAAAGAAAGACTTTTGTTGCTTTCCTTGCATGCAACCAAAAGCAGAAGAAGAAATGGAAAAAAAGCAGCCCGGTATGCAGGCGAGGTACGTGGGGCAAGTGGGGCAACTCTCCCCCCTCCCCCCTTTCCCCCTCCGCTCACTACCTTGTGTTGTTCACAATGCAAGCAATGCAAGTCTTGTGTTCCTGCAGGCCATGTGGGTGGCACAGCCTTGTATTCCCATGCAGCCTGGATTAATTGCTTTGGGGGTGCTTTGGGGGGGGGGGACATTTCTCTGCAGACCACCAAAATTTTCTTGTGGATCACCAGTGGTCCCGGCCCACTGGTTGGTGACCACTGCACTAGAATGTTATACTTCACATGAGGACAGCAATGACATACAAGACACCCAATTTTTTGTTCAGGGACTTGCTTACTTACAGCAGGAGTTTCATAGACATAAACATGATACAGATGAAAAGTGGTTTTATTGCATATAAGAAAAAGGCACTTGTGCACAAAAATTATGTACTGCGCAGAGCACAGAAATCAAATTTTCTAATATGTATGTTCCAGGGTTTAAATTCTAGGGGTCTCTGAATCAATGGCCTTCTGGTCATTCTTTTCCCAGCCAAATCTCTCAGATGTAGCCATCTGTTCAATGTTTATATATTGTTCTGTCTGGACAGATAATTCATTGGTTATACCTCATTAGCTTCCATTTTATAAGCATCAGTGATGCTGTGCACCATTCCCAGGTACAGTAGCATTTCACAAGTAACATGGTAGCTTCTATATTCTGTACAGTATTTAAAAATCAGACTTAAAAATATGCAAAGGAAACTAAAGATTTTTGGGAAGGAAAAAAAAGCTTAAAGGTGAATTGGAGCTGGTGTTGTAGGTATTGTCAATTGAATAACCATCAGAATCATGAGAATTTAGAAGTAGAAATCAGTGAATATTCTAATAAGTGGTCCCCAACCCCCAGTCTGGGCACCGGACTGCAGCATATCAGAAATGGGGCTCTGCAAAGAAGCAAAGGCCCATCTGTGGGATGCAGGAAGCACGCAACAACACCCTCCCTCCAGTCCATGGAAAAATCTCTCTCCATGAAACCGGTCCCTGGTGCCCAAAATGTTGAGGGCCACTGCCCTAATACCCTCACCCATTAAAGCTGTCCAGAAGCAACAATACAGTTGAATAATTATCTTCAGCATTTATTCTATAGTTTCCCTTACATGTGACAAGTTTCCAAAGTGGATGAAAAATTTTTTTTCCCTACCATTTATATACTAGTGCAGCAACTCTGTACAGTAAAGCACATGAACACAAATCAAAACTCTTAGTATGAAATGCACATAATAATTCAAGCTGTCATAATCATGGCATTAGATGCAGCAAAAGGATTAAATAGAGAAATTATTTCCTAATGTGCCTGGGGCAACTGTATTCTGGAGCAAATGTGCCTGGGGCAAATGCAAGGTTTATATTGCAATGTTTTGGGAAAACATTTCAGTTTGATAATTATACGTAGGCAAGGCAACCATGTTGTTATCAGCCTTCCTTCAGCCTTGTGCTATCTAGATATCAACTCCTGTGGTTACTAATCTACCTGGGCAATGACTCAGGATGGGGGCAAAAGGTGACTATAGCAAACATAGTTTACTACCACGTACACCCTCCTATGTGAAAGCATAGTTTGTGGCTCATTGTGCTGTTCATATCCGAGCAACCGGGTTCAAAAGGTTTTAAAAATATGATTAACAACATATTATGTGACTGCAACCTAAATTAAAGCATACAACTTTTGTTTCTGCATCATCTCCCAGTACAGTGGACACATTGTACAATACAGGTTTCTCTGTACAATACAGCTTTGCCTGTGCATGGAAATGCTCCTACATGGCGATCACAGAATTGGCGAGACCTGCTTAGCCCTAGTTTAATCTTTGGTTTGCTCAAACTAGCATTCTGAATTTGCCCGCTGAGGTAATTCTCACGGATGCATAAACGCGGTGTTGAGGTGCTGCGCAAAGGCACCCGGAGCCTTCCGGTTCACCTCAGAATCAACATGACCGGGTCTGTCGCCCTCCGGCTGCCTGAGGATGACCGAAATCACCCCGCCTTCTCCAGACCAGGCGAGGGGCGAGAGAGACTCGGAAAGGGCGGGTTCCTCCACCTACTTCCACTAGTTCGACGGCGAAGGAAAGGCAGTTGTGGGCAAAAAGCAAGTTGCGGAAAAGAGAGAGAGAGAGGGCTCCGGAGCTGACGAGGTCACCCGGGACGGGGCGGCCGCAGTTCCTAGCCTACCATTTCCTGCCCGCCTCCAGCCAGGCCAGCGGCCTTCCCCGCCCTCGGCTCCTCCCGTTGCCGCCGCGCAATTGCTGGCTCTCGGAGGCAAGAGCGGACCAGCAGAAAGGCGCCATGGCGCTTCTGGAGCCGTTAAGCGGAGCGCAGCTGAAGCGCCTGGAACAGCACAGCTACAACTCGTCCGGGCGCTCGCTGCTGGAGCCGCCGCTGCAGCATTACTGGGTTTGGCTGGTGGAGCGCACGCCGCTCTGGCTGGCCCCCAACGCCATCACGCTCACCGGCCTGGTCTTTACCCTCGTCCCTTCGCTGATTCTCATGTACTACTGCCCTAGCGCCACCGAGGAGGTACGGTAGTCCACGCCGGGGAGACTCGCCTCCGCCGTCGCCCTTCTGGATGCGCGCTTCCTCTGGTTTCGCTTCAGCGATGTCCTGCTGATGGGGCGGGTGGGGGGGGGGGCATTGCAGATGGCGGAGGGTCAGGTTCCCAGGAAAGAGAAAAGCCTGGGCCGCCCTGGAGTTCAAATTCCAGGGGGTTCAGCCCGTCCAGCCTATTCAGCAGATACTCCTAGAGATCGACGGCAGCGTTAAGATCTGAGCGTAAGTTAGGATACCACTCTGGAGCTCGTTTCGTGTGAGCTGCCCGGTGAGCTTTCGCGGAGTCTCGCGGATCTCTACTGCGCACACTTTCACTTTTAAAAGAAGTTCCCCTCCGCTCGGGGCAAGAGGGGCCTTCTTGTTGACCAACCCTGCAACCTGGTCGTGAGAAACATGGTGGGCTGGAGTCCAGCGTGTGTAGGTTGGGCTGAGAAAGATCTGTGTTGCCTGTCATAATCTTTTCTTTTAAAAAAAGAAAATATTCGAGTCACCTGGAGATTTGTGGAAATTGAAGTAGCTCAACAACAGAGTTTGTGTGTGTGTGTGTGTATTTGTTAGATTTACATCATGCCCTTCCTGTGCTAAGGCGTTGTAAGAGTGGCACTTTGGATTACACCTGTGATCTTCCACCAAAGGTCACAATGTGTACATGTTTTGAGCTGTTGGAGTAGAAGCTAGGAAAGGGTTGGTTTTAGACATTGGACTCTCTGAAAGAGAAATTTTCTTCACTTGCAAACCAGCTTTGTATTTGCATGATACATATAAAGATACAATTTCCTTTTTGTGGAGTTTCACTGTTGGGGACTGCATAGATACATTAACTTCTCAGCAACAATAAGGAAGTGGTTATTTGTTGCTGCAGCCTCTGCCTTCTTTTTAAAGTTCCCAGTCTAGTTTCCTTGCTTCTGGGAGTTTCTAATAGTCTGTATCTGAGGGCTAACCAGGCCTGACCCTGTATGATTTTTCAAGATTCACTAGATCAGGGGTAGCTAACCTTTTCTGGCTTGTGCCCGCCCGTATGCCAGTACCCAGAAGGTAATGCGTGCTGCCCCCCCATGCTCCCTGCGCATGCATGCGTGACTCCCCCATATGCAGTGTGTCTGTGCTTACGCATGTGATTCCCTCGCAGGCAGCACATCCCTGCGCATGCATGTGCGTCTCTCGCACACCCCTTCCACTCCCTGCATATGCGCGCCAGATACCTGACAATCAGCTCTCGGATGGCAGCAGGTTTGCACATGCGCAGTGGGGCTCTTCCAGGTGACCTCTCGCGTGCCGGGGGAAATGGCTCTGCGTGTCACTTTTCCATGCAGTTCACCAACACGGGACTAGATTGTAGTCCATGGTCCATATTATTATGAGCCCAACCTGCTGCAGAATGAAGGCCTCTTGGCTGAAGTTGATTTATTTTACGTGTTCAATTTCCATAGCTGCCCATCTCAGCCAAGTGACTCTTTATGGTTTGTAATGTACCATACTAGTCTACTTTGGATGGGTAAATCGATGTTGTTCCACTTTCCAGTCTTGACTCTGAAACAATGACTGGCCCAAAGGCATCCAGCTGGCTTCTGTGCCTAAGGGAAGATTAGAACAGGATCTCCTTGCTCATGCTTTTTAGTAAGATGGAGAAACTATAGACTTACGTTATTAGCCTTATTCTTACTGAATGCCTCATCATTCACTGGCTTTGTAACAAAGCTACTTTAAGATACAAGGTGCCAAAGACAAAATAGTGATTAAAGGGGAATGTCATAACAAATGTTCAAGATCACTCTGTGCTTATTATTGGATGAGAATGGCAGAACAGCTTGTTGCTGTAAGAGGGGTCCTTGGTGCTCTCTGAGCTTGCTTATTTTTCTTGCAGATGTTTCATTAGCCTAACTAGGTAATACAGGTAGTCCTCGGCTTACAACAGTTCATTTAGTGACTGTTCAAAGTTACAACAGCACTGAAAAAAGGGACTTATGACCATTTTTCACAGTTACAACCTGTGTAGGTTCCCCATCAGAGATGGGATTCAGCAGGTTCTGACCGGTTCTATAGAACCGGTAGTGGAAATTTTGAGTAGTTTGGAGAACCGGCAAATACCACCTCTGACTGGCCCCATCCCCATCTATTCTCTGCCTCCTGAGTCCCAGCTGGTCGGCTGAGTCTTCTTTTGTTGCCCTGAACAGGAGAACGGAGCTGGAAAGCAGGTTAGTGGAGTGGGGAGGGAATGGGGATTTTGCAGTATCCTTCCCCTGACGCATCCACCAAGCTACGCCCACCAAACCACGCCCACCAAACCATGCCATGCCCATCATGCCACACCCACTGAACCAGTAGTAAAAAAATTTGAATCCCACCACTGTTCTCCATGATCATGTGATCAAAATTCAGACACTTGGCAACTGATTCATATTTATGACCAAGGTCATGTGATCACCTTTTGCAAGGAAAGTGAATGGGCAAGCCAGATTCACTTAACAACTGAGCTACTAACATCAACTGCAGTGGTTCATTTAACAAGCGTGGCAAGCGAGGTTCTAAAAACTCGCTTAAATGTCTCCCTTAACAACAGAAATTTTGGGCTCAGTTGTGGTCGTAAGTTGAGGACTATGCGTACTTGTACTACCTAGTTAGGGTAATGAAACGTCTTCAAGAAAACAAGAAAACTCACCAGATACATACAGTAAAGACTTGAAATATCTGATTGTAAATGTATTAACAGCGGCTAGGATTGTATTTGCTAAAAATTGGAAAAATGAGAAAATACCACTGCAGGAAGAAATTATTAAGAAAATATTGGAATGTGCTGAGATGAGTAGATTGACATTTGAAATTAGAGAGCAAGAGGATAAACCATTCTATAAAATTTGGGACCTTTTCTATCAATGGTTGGATGATAAAATATAATAATAGAATATTTAGAATGTTAGATAATAAGGAATATTTTTTCTTTTTCTTATGTTATTTGATATCATATCTATAAAGTGTTTTTAGGATAGATTTGGTATGATTATATGATTTGCTATAGAATAAACTACCTAAATTATAGTTATCTCATAAAGTATGAATGAATAAAATTATAGTCAAATAATTTTCTAATAGTGATACTAGGATATATAAGTTTGGATTGATAATATGAGTTATTATGTAATGTAACTGTAACTGAGACTATGAAATGAATGCACAAAACTGATGAACCAACCAACACACTGTTTGTATATATGTATGGAAGAGAGCTGATGTTTTTATGTTTTGTTTGTTTTGTTTGTTTTTAAAAAAATCAATAAAATTGTTTTCAAAAAAAAAAAAGAAAGAAAACAAGAAAACTCAGAAAGCACCAAGGACGCCTCATTTTGACTCTGAGCTACAAATATTCTCCTTTATTGTTTCTGTGTATTTGTTTCAGGCTCCTCCTTGGGTGTTCCTCTTGTGTGCGTTGGGACTCTTTATTTACCAGTCTCTGGATGCGATCGATGGAAAGCAAGCCAGAAGAACAAATAGTAGTTCCCCTTTGGGAGAATTGTTTGACCATGGCTGTGATTCTGTTTCAACAGGTAACTTTTTAATTAGTTTAATCTTGCATCATATGGACTGATAGAGTTGGAAGCAGGTCTTTTAGTCTAACCCCTGTAGACTGTCCCCTGCAATCCCCTCTTCTAGTCAATATATAGAATTGCTTCTCTCTGTGAATTCAATCCATGCTTTCCTAGGGAGCTACAAGAAACCCCTTTCTCAAGTTTATCCTACAATCCTTCAGATGGAAATGAAGCCAACTTAGCACTGGGCCTGTAAATTGCTTCCAGTTTGAAGGGAAATGGTGCTTTGAAATGTGTGGGGCATGTAATACTTATCTGCAATTCATAAGTGATTTTTTCCAACATCTAATGGCAACTTCAGAGAGCTGTCATGTGTCCTCGGGGGAAAAACAGCGGTTTTTGAGTTTCCACTTGTTATGTGAGTATCCTTGCATACTCCATATCCAGAGGACTGAACAATTGTCACCATTCAGAGCATCCCAGGAAAGTAGTCCTTCCATCCTGTAGAACAAACATTGTTTCTGGGCAAGCAAAGAAACTTGTGTCCAGCATTTTCATCTAAAACCAGGCTGAAATTTGTCTTTCAAAAGGTAAAGCTTTCCCCTCTCCAGCCATGTCTGATTCTAGGGTGCAGTGCTCATCTCTGTTTCTTAGCCAAGAGAGCCAGCATTGTCTGAAGACACTTCCATGGTTATGTGGCCAACATGACTATATGCCTGGGGGCACAGAACACTGTTACCTTCCCACTGAAGTGGTACCTATTTAGCTCCTCACATTTGGATGCTTTTGAACTGCTAGGTTGGCAGGAGCTGGAACTCACCCCATCATGCAGCCCTGGGGTGTTGAACCTAGCTGTCAGCTTTCCAACTGAAAATCTCTGCATCTTTAATTGCTGATCTTTGGTCTTTTAAACAATTAAGAGAATTGCTCTCAGGTGGGATATTTTAAAAATGTCCTAGTAGGAAGAAGAATTTGAAAATGGAACTAATTATCCAAGAAGCTGGACAGTCATCTGTTTGGCATGCTCCAAACTGGATTCCTACACAAAATTGAAAGTTAGATCCAAGAGCCAAAATATTATCTTCCTGTTCTATAAACTAGCTCAATACATATGAAGTAAAATGGGCAGAAGTGGGGCAGTAACTTTTTTACATTAAATGAAGATCATATTAGCAACAATTCCTGGAACGCAGAGTTATATTTTTTATGGGCGCTCACTCATCAATATTCTTTTTAAATACATGGTGACTTCATAAAGCAGGCGTAAGAAAACAGATGGGGTTTCTAAGATGTGTAAAATCTATTAGTTAGTGCAGGGATTCCCCCCCCCCCCTTTAGTATAGCTTCCATTTTACTTATCAGTGAAAAGTAATTACTGGTTACTTAATGTTTATAAGTCTTAATGTATATATATTCTCCAAAACAGCTATGAAATATAATCTAATTTAATTGGCCGTTTCAGTATTCATTGGTGTTGCAGCCTGTGTTGCAATTCGCTTGGGAACAAATCCAGACTGGCTCTTTTTCTGTTCCTTTGCCGGGATATTCCTGTTTTACTGTGCTCACTGGCAAACCTATGTCTCAGGCATACTCAGATTTGGCAAGTAAGTGGACGCCTGGATAATTGAATTTGCAACTTGTCTTAATAAAAAAAAAAAATTGCTGTCAGCCTCAATTGGGACCCCACTTTTTTTTTCCCCTGTAGGAAAAATGTTTGTGAATTCCAGGCTGAGTTAACAGTACATCAAATGAGATGACAATACTTCACAGTGTAGTTTTGAAACTTGTGAAGGTTAAGTGGGAAGGATCAAAAACTTTTTCAGGAAAGGTTATGAGATATTAAAAATGAGGCAGAAACCCTGCTATTGCTTTCAGCTACCAAGGTTGGAACAAAAAGGGGCCTGGTGGGGGAGCTGTTAGAATACAGTATGCAGGCTAACTCTGCCTACAGCCCGAAGTTCAATCCTGACAAACTCATGGTTGACTCAGCTTTCCATCTTTCTGAGATCTGTCAAGTGAGGATCCAGATTGTTGGGGGCAGTTTGCTGACATTGTAAACCACTTAGCAAATGCTGTAAAGTACTATGGAGTAGTATATAAATCTAAGTCCTATTGCTATTTTTTTAATGGCTATGAGAGAGCAGTCCTCTGTTGAAGGTATTATTTATTTGAAGGGACTGTCTGACTTGGATTTAATCCCAGTTTAGATAGAAGACCATGAAACTGGTGTCCAACAATTAGTACTTGGTCAGTAGCAGGCAAATAGGTATATGTGAAGCTTGGTTCACATATCCCAGATTGTGATTTCTTAATCATGATTTATGGAATGCATCAGGATTAGTTGGATTTACGCTCATCATAAAACACAAGACACAACATGGATGACATGCTAGACAAACCTGAATCAACACTATTGTTTTATAATGCAGGATAAGGCATTCAATTACTTTTATATTATACTTAGCACACAGGTAGAGCCAAGGCAAATAGGTGCTTTATCTGCTATCCTTTGATGTATAAATGCAACCCTAAAGTGGGTGTTACATTCCAGTTTTGGATACTGTTACATTTTTGTTTATAATCCCAATTCAAAATTTCAGTTGATTATAATTCCATTTTGATTTATAACTGCCAATTTTGTTCCAAATAGCTGGCTTTTAAACTAAGGGAGTTTTTCTAAGGGAGATTTTCTATAATAAAGCTCTGTCTTAATACTACATAGTAAACAATTCTGAAAGGTAGAGGATGAGTAGTTTTTGATATGGCACCAAGTTAATGATTTAAAAGGAAAAATAATTATAATCTAATTCCATGTCTTCTTCAGCTTCCCCCTTTCATTGCTGACTTTAAATTTAGCATGCTTAAGATCTTTGTTTTGCTATAAAGTGTTTTCTACATTTTGGGAGACCTTTAATGGGATATAGTGCAAAAACTGGTCTCAACTGCTCAAACATCAGATATCCAGGGCAGAGATGAGTTTGTATTTCTTTCATAATAGATAAATTTGCATCTTACTTTGGATATGAGGAGATAGTGATGCTTTATTTATATTCAGCCATTATTTCTGCCAGTTTATACATTGAATTAGAAAAATATAAGTATAAGAAATAAACTAAATTATTAAGCTACTTTCATTATTAGAGTTTCCTGATGTTTGCATTTATTTTAGAAAAATGTTTGATTAATCTTTGGTAAATGATTTCCCATTCATGAAAGCAATAAATCACTGGTTTGAGTCAATTTCTTTTTTGTTTTTGTTCTAGAATTGATGTGACTGAATCTGAAATAGCTGTAATAATGATATTTTTGTTAAGCTCATTTGGTGGAACAAGAATATGGGACACAAAGGTAAGCCAATATACCTACAGATTTGAATATATTTTCCTATCTTGGAAACATATTGATATTAAGTGAGTCTTTCTAATTCTTTGCATTTTGTTGAACACTGATTTTTCCTCCCTTTTAAAAATAGGATACTTTTAAATGTTTATTGTAACATGCCTCTTCCCATGTGGTCCAAGTATATTGCCACTTCGGCATTTGTAACGTGCTTTCCAATGCATTAGTTTAAAACTACATAAAGGAAAAAGACTCCACATGCTATAATTAAAGTTTGTATTAAATCACTGCAATTCTTTCAACATATGATGTTTCATAATACTTCCAGTTCTGTGCTGATTATTATGTATGTGTTGCCATCTGACCACTGTTGTTACTCAACATTCATGTAGCATCTAAAGGTGTGCCAAATTTATTGCTATAAGTCAACAGGATGTATCTCTCTTTTATTTTCTAAAAACTTCAGAGCAGATTATGCTCCTTCTCCTTTCAAAGCTGGACTATTTTTGCCAATATGGTAGGATTTAGTTTTACTGAAAATAATAAGAGAACTACTATTCAAAAAGAAGACATGAGTTAAGATGACCTCTTGAAAATTTTGACAATTACGTCCACTTGATATGATTTTCTGATCTTTTTATTGGTGATATCTTAGCCTTCCTAGACTTTTCAGCCATTTAGAAATCTAGCAGACTGAGGGAAAAAAATTAACTGCATTGTAAGGCAATAAGGAAACCATTATACAAGTATTTATATAGTTACAGTATACACTTTCAACATTTCACATTTATAAACATTTAAAAAATTTGTAACCATCACTTGGCTGGCTGTACTCTTGAAACTGATTTAATGTTCTGGCATGCTTGAATTATTGAATATCTGCATGAAACAAATTCAGTGTTCAAATGTTATTACTGGAATTTTTCAAGTTTTCCTTTGGAAATCATTTTTTTTCCTTCCTGAAGCTACAATAAACAGCTAAACTACTCAATTTAAACCATCTTCATGCTGGAAGTTATTTTATTGGAGTAATATAAATATTTAAGATATACAAGTAATCTTGGGAAAATTGCACCTTAGGCAGCTTTGTATTCTGAAATGTAACCACTTGGTTACAGGATTCATTTATTTTGCTTTTCTTTTTAACCTTGTGCTGCCTCTTGGAAGTTTCCTTCAAACTACAGTTGAATAAGAAAGGTAAATATTTATGCTAAGTTGTACTAGCTAGAGTATATGGATAATATGGTCTGATCTAAGCAAAATGGGAAGATACTGTTTGCATTTCCCATGATGTTTACCTCTGTATAGACCAGTGAAACTGAAGGAACTATTCATTTTCTGGAAATGTAGTTGATGGTGTATAGGTAGTTCACATTCAGCAACCATTCAAACTCACAATGATCTTACAATTCCATTGAACAAGGGAACTTAAAAGCAGTCCTTGTAGTTGAAACCATCACAGCATTCATGTATTCACAACTGCAATTCGGGCATGATTGTTGAAGCATCCCATCATCACACGGTCGTCATTTCTGACCTTCAGTGCCAGCTTCTGACTAGCAGAGTCAAAGGAGAAACTGGCAGGAGGTTGCAAAAGGGGATTGTGTGACATTGTGTCCTAATGATTGCAAAGGGATTTGCTTAACAACAGCAACTGGAAACTATTCAAATTGTTGTTGTAAGTGGGAACAGTCAAGTGTAACTTTGCCCTTTATGTATGCCCCAATTAGCAACAGAGCTGCTGGTCTCAATTATTGTTAAGCAAAGCTATACTAAGCTATACAATCAGTTCAAGTTGCTTAAGAATGTTTTTTCTTGATTCCAAATTCTATGTCATATATAATTGTGAGAGAGTTGAAAGAATAGTGTCTGTGTGTCCCGTCCTTCAGTCATAAATCTGGGATTGCTAACATAATTTTTGAATGTGAGTGACATTTGCTTATAAGTGAAGGAAAATGGATAGTTTAGATAAATGGCTAAGTTTCAATAGTTGTGGAAAGTTTTAACCCTTTTAAATGTCCTTTTTCTTTACAAGATCCCTCTGTTTGAACTAGATTTGAAGACATTATTTATTGCTGTCTTTTTGGGTGGGACAGTATTTTCAAGTTATAATTATTTCCGAGTAATCCTTGGCGGAGGTGTGGGGAAGAATGGTTCCACAATAGCAGTAAGTATTTGTAAGATGTTAATTGTTGGGTTAATACAATTTTAATTAATGTTAATGCTAATACAAACAGTTGTTGAGTGCTATTTTGTGTACTTGGTTTTAGAAAGCTTTAAATACAATATTCACTGTGAAACATACTAATAAAATTATGATATAGCTTGAATTGCTCTATACGTTCATATTACAAAGAAGTAGAAAGGAGATAATACAGCAGTTACAAAGTTTCTAGATCAGATTATTTGTTTAATTCTTGAGTATCTGTGGAATTTTTGCTCACTCTTGCTAAGAGTTTTCAAAGCAGAGCCAATCAAGCAACTTATAAAGCAATTTGATAAGTCTTTTTCCACTTCTACCCAGTGGTGGGACTCAACTTTTTTTAACCACCAGTTCTGTGGGTGTGGGCTTGGTGGGCAACACATGCTTCGCACACGTGCAGAGGGTTTGATACTGACTTTCTCCTGCAATTCTGCATTCTCCCTGTGTATTCAACAGCTGAGGTGTGGCAATCTGCCGTGCTGCGCGAAGTAGCTAAACTTCAAAACCAGGAAATAAGGGTCATATAGAGCCTTCTAGCAGCTGATCATTAGAGCTCACAGATGATCTTCGGAACTAGTAGTTCGGTCAAACGGGGCTGAACTGGTAGAATACCACCCCTGCTTCTACCTGATGAAAAAGCCAAAATCCTCTTTAAAGACTTTAGTGAACTATTGGGGCACACTAGCCTTTACTCTTCCTGACAAAGTTAAACTTTCTGAAACCACCACTTGTTCAGCAATTGTTCAAAGTGATAGTGTCGATGAACAATGAGGACCTACAACCATCCTCAGAGTTTTGGTTGTTACACTGTCCCCAGGCATGTGATCATAATTGGAGTGCTTGGTTACTTGGCTCACCATTACGTAATCGCAACCAGCCACACTCGCATGTTTGCCATTTGCAGTCTTTCCTGCCAGTTTCCCCCAAGCAAATCAATGGGGAAACTAGCAGAAGGCTGCAAGTTGCGCCTGTAAGTCATGTCTGCTGATTTTTCTCACGAATATGTATTGGCACTATAGATCATGAGTGGGCTGTGAGGGCTGCTCTGTAACAACCCCCACCTGCCTATTGTGTGTAGCAACCCCCAAAGGCTTGGCCATGATCCATAACACCTTCCTGTGGCCCCCACCAGCCCGCATGCCTGCCTGCATCCTCGACTAGATTGTCTGTACTCAGAAGCACCTGTCCACAGCTGCTGCTGGCCTACTTTTTTATTTTTATTTTATTTAATTTGATTTGTCAAGATAATAGGTATAAGAATAAACATAGTTATGAATACAGGAAATGGATACATATAAAAAAATAAAAAAAGAACAATAGGACAGGGACGGTAGGCACATTGGTGTGCTTATGCATGCCACCTACAGACATCTTAGGAAAGGGGTGAGGTCAATAGTAGACAGTCTATAATTAAAGTTTTGGGGATTTGGGGAAGAAACCACATAGTCAGATAGAGTGTTCCAGACATTAACCACTCTATTGCTGAAGTCGTATTTCCTGCAATCAAGTTTGGTGCGGTTAACCTTGAGTTTGTATCTATTGTGTGCTCTTGTGTTGTTATGGTTGAAGCCGAAGTATTCATTGACAGGTAGGACATTGCAATGTATGATTTTATATACTATACTTAGATCGGACCAAAGACGGCGTAGTTCTAGGTTTTCTAAGTCTAGAATTTCGAGTCTGGTAGCATAAGGTATTCTGCAACTGACATGTGTCCATCTGTAGCACTCATCCACCCACCTGCAGCTCACACCTGCCAGGTTGCTTGCCTAAGACTTGGGTCATTTGAGGTCTTCAGTTAATGACCCACACATTCTCTGGGTTATGATGGCAAACAGGATGCAGTCACATGATGCTGATTTAGTAATGCATTAGCTTAGTGGTGGAAATTCTGGTCCCAATTGCCATCATAAGCTTGCCCCCTACATTTCTTAAGAGTTAAGCTGTTCTGGGAGATTCTCCAGCTGGTTCTAAAATCATGTGGAAGCTTCAAACAGTGAAAAAGGTTACTTGACCAATCTCATCTTCCAGTTTGTAGAGATTATCCATTAAATTCTGGGTAAATTCAGAATTCTGTCCCCAAAGTGCTTTTTCAAGAGGCAACTAGACTTTCTGGTTTTTCTTTGAAGACAGAAAGTCCAGTTGCCTCTCGAAAAAGCACTTTTGGAACAACCATGACCTGGATGACTGAGAATCTCCATAGATATTCAGAATTCTGGTTAATATTTAAAGGTCTGAATAGTACTATAGGGTAGATTTCTTTCATGTTTCTTCCGACATGCACTTTTTTTGGTAAAAATTAGATTTGATTCAAATTCAGTAGACCATATCATTTTGTAGTTCTTAGGACTGTTATATTTTTGGTATTGCTAATTATTTTGTAATTTATCTGTTATATTTTAAAATCTAATTATGTTTACTATTATTTGAGCTATAGAGAGAAATAACAGAAAATATCTTACTAAAAAAAACCATAAATGTCTTTATGTATTTCAGGGAACAAGTGTTTTATCTCCAGGCCTCCACATTGGTCTAATTATTACTTTGGCAGTAATGATCTACAAAAAGTCCCCAACTCAACTGTTTGAAAACCATCCTTGTCTATATGTCTTAACTTTTGGATTTGTGTCCGCAAAAATTACACAAAAATTGATGGTAAAACATTCTTAATATTTGCTATACATATAAAATGTTTAGCTGATGTAAGCCAAATATTTTAACATATTAAAGAATGCTACAAATCAAGGTTAATGTGATATTAATGTAAAAAAAACCCTAATGCTGTAGTTTGATGCATATTCACCAAGAAAACAGACCCTTTGAGTTGGAAATAGTTGAGTCTATTTCCAAGTTAGTGTAATTAGGATTATAGCTAATGTGGGCAAATTGAACATATGTTTCTTAAAAACTACCTAGATATATAGAATACAATGATCATATATACATTCAATTTAAAAAGTAGACACTCACTACAAATTATGGTTTATTAAGACAAACAAACAAAACAACAAATGGTTTTATGGTACTTTTTTTGCCAAAGGAAATATCTGCAAAACAATATAGTTTCAGATTTAATTATTAAGGCCATGTTTACCAGAAAGTCCACTGGCATCAAGATAAACTAGAAAGTATGTATTTACTCCATGTAAATCCAGTTTTAATAAACATTGAATATATATATTTTTATTACAATTTGTATTCTACATCAAGCTTATTAAAGTCTTATCTGTGATTAAGTAAAGAGTACCACTACCAGCAGACAAAATCTGTTCAATATTTTTTGTAGTTTTTATTGTTGTTAAGTGAATTCTTGCTATTCTTACTGCGAATATTTTAGATCACTTTGAAGTTTTTTATTTTATAGCATTCTAATGTCTCCCATTAGAGTTGATAGTACATTTACATTGCAAAGGATTAAATAGGATCTAAAAGTCTTAATTTAGTAGATAATCTAATTTCTGTTTATAGGTAGCACACATGACAAAAAGTGAGATCTTACTTCAAGACATAGCATTCATTGGGCCAGGCCTCTTATTTCTAAACCAGTACTTCAATTGTTTTATTGATGAATATATTGTTTTATGGATAGCACTGGTAAGTAAATGTATTGTATTTTTATGTAATTATGTATAAGATTACATATAATGATTGGTAATATGAATTTTGAGTGGCTTGTCAAATGTATAAATCAAGAATTGAAAGAAAGTATTTTAAAAACTGAAACATACCAATGTGGTCAGAGATGAATGAGACAATTTTGTAATTTTAGAAATTTCCTTAACAAAGAAGGTACAAAGACATATAGTAGCTTTATTTGTAGCAAGGCATCTTGATGAGGAAAAGGCAAAGATGGTTGTGCTCCTCAAATAATGGATAGTGATTTTTCCAGAGGCACAACAAAGGAAAAGAAAATGTAGAATTAATCTATCTTGAAAACGTGAATCTCTTGTCTTAAAATACCTCCTCAAAGTACAGTCTTATAAAGAAAATAAGTTTTTTATTTTTTAATTCTTTTATTGTTGTCAATTGCTTACAAGATAATAGGTATAAGTAAAAACATAGTTATGAATAGTTGGATACTTATAAGAAAAATAAAAAATAAAAGAAACAATAGGACAGGGACGGTAGGCTCGTTGGTGCGCTTATGCACGCCACCTACAGAACTCTTAGGAAAGGGGTGAGGTCGATAATAGAAAGTCTAAGGTTAAAGTTTTTGGGGTTTGGGGAAGAAACCACAGAGTCAGGTAGAGTATTCCAGGCATTGACCACTCTGCTGCTGAAGTCGTATTTCCTGCAATCAAGTTTGGTGCGATTAACCTTGAGTTTGTATCTGTTGTTTGCTCTTGTGTTGTTATGGTTGAAGCTGAAGTATTCATTGACAGGTAGGACATTGCAATGTATGATTTTATATACTATACTTAGATCGGACCGAAGGCAGCGTAGTTCTAAGTTTTCTAGGTCTAGAATTTCGAGTCTGGTGGCATAAGGTATTCTGCAATGAGTAGAGGAATGGAGAACTCTTCTTGTGAAATATTTCTGGACTTTCTCAACTGGACTTTCTCAATATCAGATACATAATGTGGGTTCCAGACTGATGAACTGTATTTGAGTATTAGTCTAGTAAATGTTTTGTATGCTGTAGTTATTAGCATAATATTACTGGAGAAAAAGCTACGTAAGATTAGGTTAACAACTCTTAATGCCTTTTTGGCTATGTAGTTACAGTGGGCTCTAGCACTTAGATCATCAGAGTTTGGATCATCAGCAAGGTCTTGACTATTCAGCTTGTATTTTATTTTCTGATTATTTTTGCCAATATGTAGGACAGAGCATTTATTTGTCGAGATTTGAAGTTTCCATTTGTTTGACCATTCTGATACATAGTCAAGATCTTTTTGAAGGGTAGCAGTATTGTCTGTGGTATTGAACAGCTTTACATCATCAGCGAAGAGAACGCAGTTGCTCTTAATATGATAACAGAGGTTATTTATGTAGAGATGAAGAGAGTTGGTCCTAGAACACTGCCTTGGGGGACACCACTGTTGACAGGTACAGATTTTGATAGGACACTCCCAATTTTGACCATTTGTTGTCTGTTTGACAGGAATGCTTCTATCCAGTTATGTAGGTGTCCAGAGATACCATAAGATTTTAGTTTTAGTAGTAGTTTGTCGTGTACCACTGAATCAAAGGCTTTACAGAAGTCTATGTAGATTGCATCTATTGCTTTGCCTTGATCGAGTTGTGTAGTCCATATGTTTTTGCAGTGTAAGAGTTGCAGATTATATGATAGTTTTTTTCCTGAAACCAAATTGTTTATTAGAGAGTAGGTTAATAATTGATTCCATGACTTTACAGGTGATGCAGCATAAAGAGATTGGTCTGTAATTTTCAACTAGACTGGGATCTTCCTTTTTGAAGAAGGGGATGACCGTGGCTTGTGACCATAGTTTTGGCAAGGAGCTGGTCCTGAAAGATTTTTCAAAGGTTATGCTTAGAGGTTCAGCTATGGCAGTGGATGGTTTTTTTAAGAAGTAGGCACATATTCTATCCGGTCCAATAGATAGAGATGGTTTTATCATTCTATATTTGTCCAAACTGTGCTAGAGTTTATCCAAAGTAATCTAGATTTAGACAAAATGAAGTCTGAAGAACTAATGTTATTAGATCATACTAAAACATTAAATCAAAATTTAAAAATATTTATATGTCTTTTAAAGACATCAAAATGACACCATAATAATAAACTTAAAAGAATCACATTACTACTTAAACTGATTGAGTTGTCAGCTTGTCATAAAAGGATGAATGATAGATGTTGATTGTGTGGGATCACTGGGATAGGAAACCCAATATCTTTACAATATCCCTAGAAAGTCTATCCAATAAAGCATAATTATCCAAACATATGTAGGAAATTCTAACTAGGAGATAGGTTAAATCAGTGGTCCCCAACCACCGGGCCCCAGACCAGTACCGGTCCGTGGATCATTTTGTACCGGGCCGCAAAGAATGTTTGCTTGGGCGCCGCCATCTTGTTTCAGCGTCCTGAGTTGCCTTAGCATGCTTAGTTAAGAAATGCCCTACCCAGAGAAGGAAGTGGTGCTGGAGGAGGAGGAGGTGGCAGTAGTGGAGAAGCAAGCAACTCAGCATGGTACCGCTGTGGCGGCTTTGCCTGCATTTCCAAGGCTTCGATGTTGGGAGAGGCAGCAAGGGCTGGAAAAGGGGAGAGCTGTGCAAGGCTCCGTCTCCCTTTCCTGCCTGCACGTGGGTGGGGGGGAGGAAAGAGAGAGAGCCGGGAGCAATTCAAGGCTAGAAAACTAATGGGGAGAGCTGACAGCAGGCACTGGGGGAGGGGACTGTTGTTGCCACTGCCATGTGTGGGAGCATGCATCTCAGGGAACTGAGCCGGGAGGCGCGAGAACGGCAAGTAGGAGCGTTTGATGATTTTGAAGAACTCCTGGAACACAGTAGATTGTCGTTTTGTAGGTCTCAGTGAAATAGTGAGCTTTGTTTTGTCTCCTTTCCTCCCCTGGTAATGAGATACTTTCTGTCTTCCCCCTCACCCCCAAATAATCACTGGCTGTGGCTGGGTTTGGCAGTGAAGTGCTAAAGCGAGTGAAGTGCCCCCAGGGACACCTTTCCTTGCCTGTCTCCAGGTGAGGCTGGAAGAGCCCCCCCACCCCCCCAGCTTTTCCTCGGCTGCAGATCTGAGCCTCTCAATCCACCCAGGATCTGAAAGGAGCTCCCACTTTCTCCCCCTCCCCGCTCCCAATTAATCACCAAGAGCAGCAGTCCTTCTGCAGGCAGATGCCTGCTGAGAAGCTCCTGGAGTGGCAGCCAAGGGGCACTGTCCCCCAAGGAGAGCAAAGCCTCCTTTCTTCCTCTGCTTCTCCCAGCAGCAGTTGCCCCGAGGCCCTTCAGTTCAGACACACATACACAATCACCTGCTCTTCTGTCTCTTTGGAAGGTGCCAGGTGGGGAGGCTTCCAGCCCAGAACGTTTTATTTTGTTATTAAGCATTTACATTTTTGTTATAAATAAATAAGTGTGTGTTTGTGTATGATGTATGTATGTGTGTGTGTGTGTGTATATATATATATTTTCTGAGGTTCTCGTGGGTATTTGTATGTGGATCTTTGGTTATTGGGGTTTTCTCCCACGTAAGATTGGAAGTATCTAGGCAACGTTTTGATGAAGTCTCATTCATCACCTTCAGGCTTGTGTCTTCAGCTCTGTGCTTCTCAGAGTGATGTGAGCTTGCAGCTGCTTCTTCCTTTTAATTGCTAGTGGGGGTGTGACTTGATTGGGTGGGAGCTTGGCTGTGTTCTGATTGGGTGGGGGTGTGTTCTCATTGGTTGGGGGTTTGGCTGTGTTCTGATTGGTTGTGGGGTTGGCCATGTTCTGATTGGCTGGAGGCATGTTCTGTTCAGGTGGGGGCTTAGTTGTGCTCAGGTTAGTCTAAGTTGCTGGGGATTTGAGCTGGTGAGCTGTGATCCTGCTGTTTGGCTTCGAGTTCGTGGTCGTGCCACATCATCATGGTGGGTGTCAGTTCGCTTCATGTATGGCTCGGAGGGGTTTGAAGTGGGTAGTGATGCAGCTGCAGTGCGGCTTCTGGTCTGGTCGTGTCTCATCTTCTGTGTGGGTGTGAGTCTGCTTTCTATGTGGAAGTTTGGTGGTGGCATCTTGTGTGGCCCTCGTAGGTGTGGGTCTGGTGTCAGTCTTCATGTTAAGTACTCGTCTGTTCATGAGGGCGGGTTTCCAAATGGCTGGTAGGTGGGAGGTGTCATCTCGTTTATTCATGTGTGGGCGTTTTTCTATCTCTATGGCTTCTCTGATTATTCTGTTGTTGAAGTGTTTGGTTTTGGCGATAGTTCTGGTATTTTTAAAGTCAATCTCATGTCCTGTGGCTTTGACGTGTTGGACCAGGGAAGAGGTCGGTTCTTCTTTTTTGATTGAGTTCTTATGTTCTTCAATGCGTGCACTTATTCTTCTGTTAGTTTGTCCAATGTATGTGATGGGGCAGGCAGTGCAGGGGATTTCGTATTTTCCTTGGTTTTCTAACACAGGACATGAGATTGACTTTAAAAATACCAGAACTATCGCCAAAACCGAACACTTCAACAACAGAATAATCAGTATATATCAGTATAATCTGTATATTACCATTTTACATTTATACTGATCAACGTGTTTTTTAGCCATAGCCCACATTCCCCGTTTCCCATCTAAATCCAACTTGAATCTGCTTAACTTTAGAGCTTGTTTGTTTATTGCAGCCAAGAGAGGTTCTAGCAGGCTTTCTTGTATTCTTTGGGAATATCCTTAAACTGTTTTCCACTCTTCTGTGGAAAAAAAAAGTGAGGGAAAAGGTAGAACATAACTGAAGAGAGAGAAAAAACACTTGTACCGTATGATTTAGGATTTACTGTTAACTACTGTCAGTATGGATTAATGTTTCCATTCATAAAATGCATTGCTTCCAAATGTATAGGTTTTATGGGATTGAAATGTGCCATTGTATTTGCATTTATTAATTCAACATCAACTCAGAAGGGAGACAACCATTGCCTTTTCTTTTTCATTCATTCCTCTGTAATTTACTGGATGTACAATTAAAATTCCCTCTTCCTGGGGATGGAAAGGAGGGAAAATTAAAGTTCTGGAAAAAGACATTTTTTCTATAATTGTATAGAACAGTAAAATATTAAAAGTACTGCAATTCTCACTTGATTGGTAACTGCTTTTCCAATTTGCTTTATATGAATTTAAATTATCTGCTATACCCAATAGGAGGATAAAAGGAAGAATTCTGTTGTATGCAGTGTGCTGTAATATTAACTTATAAGCTTCCTCCCCCTCCCTTTCTTCATCTTTAGTTCATCTCGTTGTTTGATTTGCTGAGATACTTTACTGGAATATGCATACAGATCGCTGCTCACCTTCACATACAAGTCTTCAAGCTTTCACCTCCTCAAGCTGTTGAACAGGTTCAGAATCATAATGAGTGACTTATAATTAAATGTGAAGAGAAGTAGGTAGAAATCTTGAATTATGGAACATTTTAAAAAAAATATAAACCCTGGAGGCTTTTTTAAAAAACCAAATATATGAAGTTCATAAAATTTCAAATTATACTAAGACTAGTTATTTTGATCAGAATCATAGAAGCTTTAAAAAAAATAACTAATCCCTGTGTAAATACTTTGTTTGTATACACTTATGGTTGAAAGTCTAATGTAGGTAATCATTAGCATGGACTATTCCATGAATGAATTTGACTTTTTAGGAGAGTAAATTTACCATTACTATATAGTACAAAAATAGCTCATTGAACATTCTGTAATGCCTTGAGCTTTCAAGAAATTGGCTAAAAATTTAACCAATGAAGTTAAAGAAATCAGTTATTAAAAGGATATGGTATTCTTTTCAGGCTGTACAACAGTTTGCAGTTTTGACTTTCAGTTAAAGTTTGCAGTAGACAGAAACATTTAAACATTTTCCTCCTCTGCCATCTGACGTTTCCTCTCCAAGCTGTAGTGCTCAGCTTATAATGGCAATTGGGACCTGAATTCCCATCATAAAACAATACAGTCATAAAGCACATCAATTGTCACTTAGCAACAGAAGTCCCAGCTGGCATTGCTAAATTGCATTGGCTGCAATTTTTGACCTGTTTCCCAATTGACTTTACTTGTGGGAAGCTGGCAGGGAACATCAGAAATCATGATCATGTGATCAGATATGCTGCAATGGATAGAAGTATAAGGACCCATCTTAAGTACCATTTGTTCAGTGCCATTGTAACTTTGAATGGTTGCTGAATGAATGGTCATAACCCAAGGATTACCTGTATTTGCTTTTCATCCTATGAAAATACAGGATTAATGCCTTATTTTGCTATTTGCAAATTGTAACTTCCCAGGCAGCTGTTTACAAAAAAGAAAATTTGGGAGTGATGTGGGAAGAACAACTGCAGTGGAATCTTGGATATAAGATAGAATGAAATCAATCTCTTTTTTTAAAAAATGTGAAGCCATTTCATTTTTTAGCATAAAATAATTTGGTCCATTACATTTAAAACAAGTCTATTTTCATTTACACAAATGTGTTACAAGTACTTTGGGAATACATACCTGCATTTTTAATATGATATATATATTAACATTTTTAGAAATTATCTTGCATAGCCAGCAATATGTGCTCCTCCTTTTGAATGTTTACGTCTCTAGAAAAACTTACAACCACAGTTCTTTCCTTGTTTCTTAAATGATAGTTTGTTTGTTTTTCATGCAACCCTGAGGCATTAAATGTTAATTTATGAATTTATCTTTCAAAAATGATTCTTAGGTTATAGAAAGCAAATATGACATAGAAGCCATGACTGAACACATGTAATAGATATTATGCTTGATTTTAAAAATGTGGTTCATCTTAGTTTTGACACTGTATAATAAAAACAGTTGTTGTAGGTGTAGTCAGGATAGTTTGATTCTTTTTAAAATATTGCTTTCTGATTTTTTTTATATATTTTTTTGCTGATTTCTATTACACTTTCATAGGGGAATCAATTCCAAGTGGCCACTGCTTATATATTAGTAAAAAAAATCCAATCTGCATTACTAATTATTATATCTCTCTAGAAATTAGGAAACCCAATAGAATAATCTATTACCTTGAGTTTTAAATGAGGTGTAAAAAAGCCTCCTAAGCTATTTATATAAAAATCACATTTGCAGAAAAATTGCCATTATGCAACCATGGTGAATTCTATATAGAAAATAATTAATGCAGTGGCATTAGGATATTTAGTAAGTGCCAAACCTTGATATTTAGGGATAATCAAATATATCAAGCAAGTTTTGGTGAAAAACAGAATACTTAATTTTTTTAAAAAAAAATCAGACTTAAAAGTTAAACACAATTTTAAATTGCTTTAACTATTCCAGAACTGTGTAAATACTGCATCTGTAATGTTTAAATGCTGTTAAACCTGTGAAAATGTAAATTACCTTTTCAAATTTTGATTTGTAAGCTCATTGAATCAATCTTTTGGTATTTCAATTGATCGTAAGAAACATTTCAGTTGGAAATTAATGCTTTCCTACTCTATTCAATAATCAGTGCAATGGTACTTTAGGAGTTTTTAACTTAATTACATAAACTAGTATTTTCAAAACACTAGGTTTGATGTATCAATTTATTAGCCCATAACTTTTCCTTCAAATGGTACATTATACCACATATTAATACGTTTAAATTATTTCAGTAGTAAATCTGGAAAACATACATTGTAATATTTTAGCGTATGATAGCAAGGAATTTATAAACAATACTGTTCAATTCTTATGTAAGCACTTTTTCATTTTGACTTACATTTCCAATTCAGCTAATGGACTTATGTAATCACTGTGCCTAACTAGGGATAAATCTACAGTATAGATATTTTGAAGTTTACAGATACTGTCATAATCCAGGCATTTACATTTGTAATTTGAAAATGAAGGAAAATATGTTAAAATAAAAGAATCATATTGTGAAAAATGAAAAAAAACAGTAATCGTTTTTATTACTTGTTGATTTCTCTTGTAACTATGAAGTATTCAGACACATATAATTTTTAACATGGAATGTGAAACAGTCTCCTTTTTCTCCTCACAATGGCTAATGTATATACTTGTATCATGTTATTTAGGTACAAGTTGTTTCTCCACTCAACCATCAGTATAACATGGACTGAAGAGATTTGCGAACAGTTGCCATCTCTTGCTGTTGCTGTTACAAGAAAGAAAAATATATTGATCAAATGCAACATTTTGTATCACAGGTCTCTTAGCTCATGAATTGTAAACAATGTTTATTTTTTCTATTTAAATTGCTGAAGTTTTCATAAATCTGTATTAATACTTACTGTGTCCATCATTATTTTCTTTTGCCATAGGGACATTTCTTTGCGAAGCTCACTTTGTGCCCCTGCTAAAAGACTTTCATGAGTCTTTTCCATGTCTTCCATACTCTAAAATTTAAATTCACATTCATGACAACCGGATAATAACTCACATCAAGTAATCTCTTGCATTTGTAAAGTCAAAATATAGACTAAACCCTCAGAATGCTTAGTATTCTGAGAAGCATAATTTCATAAATATGGAATATGTTAACCTTAGCATGATAAAATTTATCTGGAGGAAATTTACTGGATCTTGCCTCTACAAGTTCTGATGTGACTTGGGAAGTAAACTAGAAAGATAATAGAAAAATCACTACATGCAACATTTACGTAATGTATAAAGAAAGCTTGAAAGTGGAACATAGTTGAGATGATACATATTGCATAAGAAGTTTGTCCAGGAATGAAAAAGGGATGTTGGATAACAGTATCAACACCAGTATGTTGCACGAGCAGTGTTAGACTGATCGCAAAATTGCATGATAGAACAAAAATTAGAAAATTGACAGAATGGTTAAAGAAAGTGGTAACAAATCTAAATAGCTAATATCTAGTAGTAGTAATGACTTGCATTTTAAAGCATAAAAGTACTGCTGTGACTTTAACTGAAAACTACAACATTCAAATATGAGCTTGATAAAACTATGTCCAGAGCTACAATTTGATTTAAAAATAACCTTTAAAAACTGCTCATACAACTGCTTAATTGTTTTCAGCCTTTGACTTTGAACTATTCTTGCTTGCTGGAAAGCTTTCTGTTGTTGTCGAAAAACATTCTGAAGGGGGAAAAAGTATAATGGTTAATAAGTTGATACAATTCAATTATAGAAATTTTCTTTGTTAACAAGACATATCAGGAATAGACTTACTCCAAGTTGTATGATGCATATTTTAAGTTTTACAACTGTGTTTTGTACATCTGAATTCAACTTGGGAAATCACTTACAAAACAATTTGGACAGCTGGTTTGAAACTCAGTTGTGGCAGAAGGGATAGTTGTACATTTCTGGCCTACCTATTAACTGGCCTTAAATTTCAATTGTTTTTGTGGTTAAACAAATCTTACAAAGTGCTTGATTTTGCTAATTTTACTTGAGTTTCCTGCACTCTGTGGGAATAAATATTTTCACAGTTAATAATGCACACATCAGTGAATATTTCATCTTTGGTTATTGAATGATAATTTCTCCTATACAAGCCATCTTCAACTTACAACCACAATAAGGACCAGTATTTCCATTGCAGTAAGCAAGGTGGTTGTTAAGTGAGTAGCACTAATTTTATGTCAGTTAACTGAATCATTGCAGTTGTTAAGTAAATCACAATCATTAAGTGAATCAGGTTCCTCCCACTGACTTTGCTAGTCAGAAGCCAGCTGTGAAGGTTGCAAATGGAAATCACATGACCCTGGGATGTTGTGATGGTTATAAGTAAGGACTGGTTATAAGTCACTTTCAGTGCAGTTGTAACTTTGAATGCTTGTAAGTTGAGGGATACCTGTATCACAGGAGGAAAAAGAAGTCAGCATGAAATAGCAATCTGGTTAGTATAATAGAAGAAAACAAACCACTAGCTTTTCTTCCTGTTCCTCTGCTTTCTGTATATCGGCATCCCATTGTTGAAATACATGCAGGAACTGCTGAGAATACTCATGGTTAACCTTTTGCCTGCAATATATATTTACCATTACAAAGAGTGCAATGTGTAATATCTTGTAAAATAAATCTACAGGAATATGGAATGGTGACTTTAACCAACTAAATTGGCATACTTGTGGGTACCCCTGGAACACTGCAGACTTTGATGCTTTTAAGTACCAACATTGTGGCATTTTAAAATATTGTAAAACACAAACATAAATGAAAATCAATGGTTTTTAAAAAATATTTATTGTTAAATTTCTGGGTTAATGTAATCCATATTCATTCACATTATGTATCATCTAGATACCAAAAAAAGCAGCTAGAATATTTCTCCAAGGGCTAAAAGTTTGTTTTTCAGTAAGCAAAAATGAACAAAATTTAATCATAATTTACAGGTACTGGTCATGTGACCATATTTTGAGCACTTGAGAACTGCATTTATGAGGTTTGCAGCATCTTGCAGTCAAGTGACCACAGTTTATGGTCTTCTTCCTATGGCAGGAAACTGGTCTTTACTGGCAAAAATCAGCCTATAGCAAAAAAAATTAGTTCACTTAAAAACCGTGTTCAATTAATGATCACAGGGTTTGCTTTACAATATGCTCGCTTGTTTGTAAAATGAGATCCAGTCACATGGTGACTGGCTTTACAATGGTGTCAACTTATGATCAAAATTGCAAGCTCAATTACAGTCTTGCAATTAAGTCAAGGACCAGCTGTAAAGAATTAAGTAATTATTTCCCGTGAAATATTTATTACTCTTGAACTAACTGACCTTTGTTCCTGTTGCGTTTTCCAAACAAATTCTATTTTCTGGTTGCTTGTTTTAAGGGAAGCCTTTGTATACATTTCTAATCTTTTTCTTTTAGCCAGAAGAGCTTTGTTAATGTCCGCTATAGTAAGAGAATGATTTATTTTAGCAAGTAGGTTTAACACTTTGTAATAAATCCAAACATTACTATAGCGCCTTTTCAGACTAATTTTGAGTATTGTACACCTAACCCTAGTATTTTCAATAAGCCAGTATATTGATAAATGCTGAGTCATTAACATTATCAAATGGATAAATTCTACTACAATACCAAACTGTGCTGGTAGACAGAATGTGTGCTAGTGTACAATGATCAACAGAAAAAGCAGTAAAACAGGATTTTGTTACAGTTCCACTTTATCCTTGGGTGAAAGTTTTTCAGTAAAGCCATTTCACAGGTTTAACTTAGCTTGAGAACCAAACTGGAACTGCATTAATTACAATTTAAGAATGTGCTTTTATTAACACTGAACCTGATTAAGTTTAAATGATTGTGAGTAAATTATATAATAAACTACACATAACAAGAAGCAATTTCTTTTGGGGAAGAACTTGATGCGCATGAGACCAGCACTTTGCTACAGACCATCATACTATTAGGTGCAGAGAAAAAAACCCAAAATATAGACTTTAGATTGAATAAAATTGATATATTAATTCAATGTTAGCTGACAATTATGAATATATCAAGTATTTTTACCTACTACTGATGTTGCACTTCAAATATTAATTTATGCTGAATTATCTTATGAACTGATTTACCCAGTTTATATTATTCCTACTCACCCTTCCACACTTACCAGAAAAATTACAAAAGCAGGAAACCTAAAACATTCTAAAGAATTAGAATAGTGTTATATATTCAGCTCTAGTGACGTACGTTAATTCCATTTTTGGATTTTTTTTTTCACCCATTAGTAAGAGTCACGGTCAAAATTTCAAAAATACAGTTTTAGTACATTTTGTTACAGGATCCTATCTGGGTCTGGTCCCAGTGTCCGACCCAGGTACTATACTGCAATATTATCCTGCAACACTTATATTCACCTTCATGTATAATAGTTATCTGAGTTTTTTTCAAAACATACCTCCAAATCGTTCCAGCATATTCTGCACTTCTCCCCTATAAAATAGATTAATTTTAAGACTAATTTTTGTACATTGTAAGAAAATAAATGTATATCTTTCTTATTGTTCTGTAGAAAAAATAGAGATTTATTTAATACAGCATAATTACACAGTTAATATTTACCAATGTACTAAATATTTAAAATATGACCCTTTACTAAAACATGTTGGCACAATCAATACTGTGAATGGCACCTATCAATATAAAAATGTACCATAGAGGAAAATACAGATATATATTAAATAAAATAATTTAAGAAATAACTAAATAACAGTATTATCTTCTAACTATGGTTACTGAATTCCTGAGTTCAATGAACATTGAACTAATTCTGAACCAAGCAATCTGACATTTGTAGCCTTTATATAATAATATCCAAACCACTGTTAAGTATGTGACTGGTCCTTCTGTATTTAGTATGTGTGTATTTTATTGCAGCCACCTTATCGGAACTGGATGAGAAATATAGAATCAAAGGGAGGATATTCCACAATAGTATTTTATTTATTGCTAGTACACTAATCTTTATTTTCCTTCTCATTAAAGTTAATTGTGGAAGATTAAAAAAACTGAATCAAATTTTGTGAAGGGATGAGACAGCTTTATTTAATAAATTCAGTAGTTCTTATTTGGCTTACTATTCACTTACTTGACTATACAAAAGAACAAATGGATCTTTGTCAAACCAAATTTGGATTGGTTTATTGGATTTCAATTCTATAATTTTTTTCTTGGAAGCAACTAATACTTAATTGAGATAGATTTAATTCCTATTTTTACTGTGAAAATAATTGTGTTTTTCAATTACAATATATCTGCATTACAGAGCTTTTTTAGTATTTTAAATTAAGTTATACAGATAATCTTTATGTTACAAAGGCAATTGGGACTGGAATTTCCATTGTCAAGTGATACAATCATAAAACATAATGTCACATGACTACTTAGAAAAGATAATTGCTGCTATCCTCACTGGCCTTGTTAGGCAAGGATCATGGATGGTTAAGGAAGAACTTCCTTGCAATTTCCTGTAGCTTCCAACAACCAAAGTCAATGGGGAAGCTGGTAGAAAATTGCAAGTCTTGGTAGCTTGCAAGCAGGCAGATAGATACAGTAAGTGACTGCTGCCAGGTGGGGGAGGATATGCAAATGGCCAGGGAGACATAGTGTTAAGTGTAGCAAGGATCCAGGAAGTTGTGTGGATAGTGGAGTGGGGGAACGGCATGTAAGTGAAGAGACTTACCTGAGCAAGTTGTGATTTTCCCTGCTGGCTTCCTGACTTTCTTTGTGTGAAGCAAACAGAGAGGATCACAAATTGCAATCACATAACTGCCAAAGCATGGAAACATAAGCGCAAGTCAGTTGTCAAGCACCCAAATTACAATTGTGACTGCACAGGTGCTGGAATGGCTGGAACTTTGACAGTCAGTCATAATCACAATCACAACTTGTCCAGCATCATTGTAATTCTAAATGGTCATTGAATAAGTGGTTGTTAGCAAGCACTGCCTGTACTTAGGTATAAATTGCTAAAATCTCTATCTAATATGGAACTCAGCATATCTGGTCTGAAAAACTCAGGAAAATGTGTTGGTTGCAAAGAGTAGGTATCTCCTGTATTTTTGTTATCTAATGTGCATCCAGTTTTGCACCTCAAATATGGTAGTCCTATTCTATTAGCATTTATCAGATTTATAAATCCTTTTCTATGTGATGGTTATAAGTCAATCAATTCAATTCTTAGTACAAAGAGAGACTGAATGCTTGACATTTCTCATACTGGTAATTTTTTAATCCAATCCAGTAAATTAACAAATTCTTAATTATGTTTCTATGTAAAATAAAGACAAACTATATTTAAAATGTGCACAGACATTTTTTGCAATGCCATCTTACACTGACCTGATCTTTCTATACATCGTATCTGAATTGATATACAGAAAATTACTCGTATGTTGTCTCCAAACTTGTGAAAATATTTATACATATGCACTTCTGATTGACTACTATAACTATAGCTGCTCATATACTATATAATTACATTTAATATAACAGCTGTGCATCAAAAGTGAGTAGGAGAGCAAATTACCCAACATCATCCTCAACTCCGGCATGAGGAGTTACTGGTCTTTTCTTCCCATGTTTATCAATCACTGGAGCTTCATCTTTACAGAAAAGCAAAACATAAATTAAATTAATTGCATCACCAGGAAAAGATGAAAGAAAACAGATCAGTCCTTAGTATTCCTAAAGCTGTGTGAACCTCTCCAAACAGAGTGCATCTTGTAGTGTCCACTCAAATACATGAGGCCAATGAAGCTGTGACATGAAAATTACACTCACTAATCCAATCATACTTTTGATACTCCAATTTAAAACATTACAAATTTTCATATAAATTAAATCTCTATTGAGGGACTGAGAGTGTGACTCAGCTAGCTTTCATTATCTTCTGTGTACATTTTTCTGTGAACAACCAATAAAATAGCAAAACAGTGGAATATATTTTAGAACAAAATATAGGAAAGTGAACAATAATTGTATTGTTCCATTTATATCTGCAATATTTATTTAGCCTAACAGCAGTCTCCAAAATCCCTTTACTTTCTATAATATTTTATTAATTATTCTGAAGACTGCATTTAAAGATTTTATACAAACAAAAAAGATTGTACTACCAAGTCACACAAAGACTTTAGGGTTAACACACAAAATTGTTTCATTAAATATAAAAATATTACTTAATTTCTAATTACTTTTTAAAACATGTTTTAATACTTTTAGAGAATCAGCTATATTTTTTCAGCATTATATTGCAGTGACATATTCATGTTAAAAATGATGCAAAAATCTTAGCTGAAATAAATTACAAAGCAGTAATTACCAGCAATAAATTACCAGTTTGTAAAGACGATGTCCAAAGTTTAGGTAAATAATAAGCTTCTGTGGAGTAGAGTTTTATGTTTAAATTGCCATGGTTTTTTGTTGTTTTTAGTGCAACGAACTATGGAAAACTACTATATATGCACTTCAGAGTTCTTAGTGTTTTGAATTAGGAAATGAAAACAGTTCAAATGTCTCTAAATCAAAAAGTATAACAGAATTCTGCTATGTCCACTCCCATAAGCATAATATGAATACAATATTTATTTAAATGTCTATACAGTTGTTTTACAACTACATGATTTGATAATTATTTGCTCTATTTACTCTACTTTCCACCTCTCAAAACCTGTCTGTAGATAAATTGCACATAACAGATAACTGAGTTTCTAAACAACGGTACTTTGGGTTTTTTAATGATTAAGTTGACTACTGCACCTTCTCTAATGTCCTCATCAGAACCACTCAGATGTTTTTTTAGATCATCTTCAAATTTATAGACATGTACTGCTGAACCTTCCTGTGTCAGTTTAGTTGTTTTTCCTGTGGATTTTCTTCCTGATGGTGCCATGATTTTCTAAATGCTGTATAATTTACATAAATACACATCAACAACTTTCAAATGTTACATTTGTTTAGTTAAATTTGAATTCAGAGAAGTTATATCTTGCATCTTTTTGTAGAGCTAACTGGAATTCAGTAATGTTATGTTCCTTATGTACAGAATTTCTTATACAAAGACTTTTTTCAGAGATGAAATTAGTGTGAGGTTATGACAAAATACTCATTTTACTCAGTTGTTATATATAAAACAACTCTATTTCATCATGCAAGTTCAACTGAATAAACCAACCTCATAAATTAACAACCTGATTTGTTTTGAGTAAACTGCAAAACAGATTAAAAAGTATTATTATTCCAACGGTATAGATTTTGTTTGTTTCTGTATCAAATTTAAACTGTTGGCTTATTAAAGTCATTTGTGAATCAGTTGCAGGTCTCAGTATCAAGTATCCTCATGTTTAAATACAGTAACTGGAAAGCCCAATATAGAAGTCCCTGTTGGTAGTGAGGAGGCTTTAAAAAACTATCACTTGAAACTTCCCTTTATGCTATCAAGCATCAACTAAAGCAGCAGTTGATATATTACCCCAGAAGGACACACTGTTTTGCCAAGATTATAGTTCTGCATTTTTATTACTCTGAGACCGGTTGTTGCCAACTTGGGTATACTAAAATAACTATATACACATGACTGAAAAAATACTTCTTAAAAGAGAACCAATCATTTATTTTTTTAGTATCAAAGCTGTCTTTAGATTAGGATTTTATTTGTATTAGACTGTAAAATTCTGTATACATTGCTGGCCTGTGAGTTATCGACGTTAACAATTTTGGATTGGATCTAATCTACATATAAATAAAACTCTGGAAGAGGTTTAATAAATGAGATGTAAGCCTTTTTTGAGTATCCCATTTCTTTAATCGGCTCATTTTTTCCTTCGCTCTTCCTGGAAGTCTCTCTCCCTTGGAGAGGACAAAGGACCGCGAAAAACGCCACCTCCGCTCGCTCTTCAAAGCAGCCGCTGCCTCTTATTTCCCGCCAAAAATCACCTCAGAGCCGAACTGGCGGCCCCGCTTTCTGCTCATCCCCCATCCCGTCCGCGTACCCAGGCCAGCAGCAGCCACTGACCGCTCCCTCCCACTCGCACACGGGTTATCTCGCCCGCTATTTTCCTCCAGCCCCAGCCCCTCGGTGTCGTCCCAGCAAAGAGGAAAGAGCTGAATTCAGGTGAAAACACGCCGCCAGCAGCCGGTTCGGCTGTCCTGAACCCGTCCCGCCCTTTCTTCAAAGGTCTACGCTTGCGTCAGAGAGGGAATGCGAGAAAAGCCCACGTGACTCGCGAGGGAGCGTTCCAGTTCGGCACGTGGACCCTGTGCAAACGAAGTTGGAGCGGCGGGTGGCATTTTTCCTTCACTACCATTTTTTTAAAATAAATTTTTATTGATTTTTAAGACAAACATAGACAGACAAAACATAAAAACATCAAGCCATCTTCCATATATATACATACAGTGTGTTGGTTGATTTACAAATTGTTTTGTGCTTCCATTTCGTAGTCTTCAATTACAATTACATATTTTCAATCAAATATTAAGTACATTAATATCATTGTTAATCTTTTATACTTTTATTCATGTTTTATGAAATAATCCATAGTTTACTTAATTTGTTTTATGACAGTTCATATTATTATCTCAAATCTATCCTACAATCAAATATAATCTATAATCTATCCTACAATCAGATATCTTTATATCTTTATTATTTTCTAAGAATCTACATATTTCATTACCATGTTTTATTGTCTAACCATTGATAGAATAGATCCCAAATTTTATAAAATTGTTTATCATCTTGTTCTCTAATTTCAAATATCAATCTACTCATTTCAGCACATTCCAATATTTTCTTAATGACTTCCTTCACCACCATTGAGGAGTGGGGGGAAAGGATACTTACACCCCCTAGAAGATTGTGAGATAGGGGACCATACATAAATCGATAAAAAAATAAACACACCGAAATGAATAACACACAAGCATACCCAAGATTGCGAGGTGGGCAGTTGTATATACATATCTGTAGAAACGCATGACTATACAAAACACACACACAACACAAATACAGCTTTTTTGAACCTATTTCATGTCTGTCCGGTGTTGGTTGAACCTAACCTGGATGCTTTTTCACCTGAACATCTGATCTCGTTCACAAAGCCTTCTTTCAATTCCACTCCACAATCTCTCTCCCTCCCCCTCCCCTCTCTCTCACACAGTTTATTTTAGAAGTCTTACTTTTCTAAGTATTACTCTTAATACTTTTCTCTGCATGCCTTCCCATTTTTAGATAGTTATCTAGCATCAACGTTTGGGTTGAAAGCACTTGAAGTCAAACTCTGAAGATTGGGAACAGCTCAGCACCCTGGGAAAAAGTGGCTTAATTTAAAGAGAAAATAAGGCAGAAGAGTAGTTTTACCACAGCAAGGTTTTTGTTAATAGAAAGCAAGCAGAGACCACTTAATGTTCCTATTTCCTTATTTATTGTACAGAATTCCAGCTATAGAATTTTAAGCTGCCCAGACTTATTTGGTTGAGTTGGGCATCTGTGGAAACTGAATGAGTGAGTGAATACATGCATTTGTGCCTGTTTGCATGCATGCATATATACATAAAATGGGCAACCCTAACTTTTCTGCATTTTAATGAGATCATAAGGCTATCAGAAATTGGGCTGCAGCAAAACAAATCAATATTTGGTGCCATCATTTACCAGTTGATTTTTTTTTTCATTCAGGTTTTATAGCCCTAAGGGAAGACTTCTGTCATTTTGTACTGAAAGTCAAATGGTGGTCCCAGTCAAACCTAATGAGCACACACGTGTACATGACAAGGTGCTGGATGGCTATTCCAATTGCTCACTTCACAGCTTAAAAGCATAGGGAAAAAAAGCAAAGCAACTATATTTTCTTATTGGTGAAATGAATATTGTAAAAAATGCATTTTTCCTGACTGCATTCTTGTATAATTTTCATAGCTCTCGATAGTGCTTTTTGCATTTTCCCCTGAAAGTTACCAAATTTGGAGAACATTGAATACAAGGATGCAGAAGTGGAAATCAATGCAGCTAAGAAATTCTTATTCCTCATCTTTTTCAATCATTAACTCCATAAATCATTTCAACCTTTTTCTTCTTTTAGCAAAAAGTCTGCAGGTGGTTTCCAGTCTTTCAACAACAACAAAAAGTACTTACTGTTTTTCCCCTGATCAAACAGGTCAGTTTTGTCATTTCCAAATGTTAGTCTTCATCATTTGATAACTGAAATAACTCATATAACTAAGTACAGTAATGCTTTTTATTGTCCATTTTTATTAAAAGTTTTTACATAGCTAAAAGACATATAGCAGTAAAGAGAAAAAGAGAAAAGAAAAGGTGTAGAACAGAATACAGTTAAAGGGAAAAAAAGTCCCATAGTTACAGAAGCTACTTTATAGCAGTTACAAACAAACTTTTTATCCCTCCGCCATCTTAGCATTACAACAATCTCTTCAGCCCTTTATTCAATTTTTTAAAGTTGTGGTATAAAAGGTGTTTTTTTTTTTTAAGTTAAAAAGAAGTTACTTTACAGAAGCTGAAATTTATTTGTATTTAAAATTAATCATGTGTTTTTTTAGATAACAAAAAAGGTGCTTTATTTGGAAATATTTAACAGTAATAAGAAAATTAAATCTTTCACCATTCTTTGACACATCTTCCAGAAAACATTTTAAATCAGTGACACTGTTAACAGAAAAATATATTTTACAACATATATACAATGAAAATCTTTTATCTTCATTATAAAATGATTGATGTTATCTAAACTCTAGTAAAGTTATTCATGACTGAGGATGATCCATTCAAAATATCTTTTTCTAAATTATCCTTTTTTTTCTGTTCCTGATTTTGGAAAATTACCAATAATGCAGATTATGAATCAAATCTCAGTTTTCAAAAAACATGATATGAGAAATTAAGTCAGTATCATGCTAATACACTTACAAAGCAATACAATGTATGACAAAATGTAGCAACCCATTTTTACTGCTAAAATATACGTTTGTATAAATAATAGTTACATCTAAGCCTCTTTACTAGACTGTAACCTTTAAATGTTAATTCGGCATTCAGTTATTAATGTGACTAAAATTTGATTAAGTGGATTGAGCAGCAATTTATATTATGATCAACAAAGGTAGCACCACAGATTTGAACAGTATTTATGTACCAATTTCTTTTGTACCTAATTACAGAAAATATAGCAACAAAGCTGACATTTTGAATGTTTCTTTGAGAAAATAATCTCTAGTTGAATCCATTACATATAAATACTTTACCATAAGTAAGTGGCATGTAAATTGGAAGTAGCAATATAGGAAGTAGCTAAAATAGCAATTTTGCCCCTTTGTGTTACAAGTGCAAGATTCACAGTGGCTCCCATAGATGAACAGTAGGACTCTAACCCTGATAATGATTCCAGTTGTGCTCCAATGCTACCGGGGAATTCTGTCAATTTAAAGATTACTTGCACATTCATAAAAACATCTGGAAACTGATTCTCTTTTAGGCTTCATATCACATTCTTCCTTCTCTTGTAATCTACAGATAAGGAACTTGAAATTAGTAACATAAACCATCCTATTGATCTAACTGGCTGCAACAAAGAATACCATGACATACTTGTGATAACGATTTTGATGTATACTAGTCCACACACCCCTCTTTGTACTAGTGGGATGCAGAATTACCGCCCAAATTTGTATGTTTTCTGATTCAGAGAGCAGAATAAACAAACTAAAGAAGTAACCAAATGGTTAATAGTTCATTAAGAGCCTTGCGACAAAAGCTTAGAACACATCTAATAGAAACATAACTTTCCAGTATTATATTTTATTGGCAATGGATGCTGCAATAAATGCAGCTATTTTTCAGTAACCCTTATTATGAAAAGGATAAAGCATTCAGAAGATCACTTG